CCTTTGTTTCAATTTTGATACTACCCGTAGACCTGCCGAGCAGCTGTAGAAATCAAACTAAACCAAAGTATAAAAGATAGAGGGTAAAAAGAATCAAAAAGTTATGTGCTAGTCAAGCTTTCAGGGATCGGTCTGAGCCATAACAATGCCCCAGCCGATCCCTTAGTTCTCTTCCGGGGTCTCGGCGTCCCCGACCAATACACACTTCCTTCCCTATCCATCCATATAACCCCGGAGGGCCAGGCACCATGTAAAAGCAAAGAGCTAAGGGAGGAACAGGGCGGCCCCTAAGCCCTGATCCTCCGAGTGGACCACATGCCCTGAACCTGTACGAAGGCGCCAACCTGGAACTCGCGGACAGTACCAGCAGCAGTGCTTACCGATTAAGCTAAGGTACTTTACGACGGGAAATTAAATCTCTTATAGTGAATAATTGAACTCATACGTTAAAAACCAAAAAGACAACAGCGGGATTCGAACCCGGGACCCCGCTAACCGTGGACGACAAATCGTAACCACTCGGCCATTTCGTTACCTTAGAATTTTCCTTAAACTGAGAAAAGTTGTCTTTATAGGTGAGCAAACGCGCCAGGAAGATTACTGGGTCCATTTGCTTTACCTTAATGGGTAAAAACAAGTCGATATAATGAGCCCAGTGTGTTTGGTTTGTTAGGAAGCTGCATAACACAGCCTAATGTGCAAAACAGTCGTGTGCTAGGCGGATCATTACGCAACAATGAACACCGCAATTGTGTATTTTCAAAAGGCAGACGCGTAGATTTCTACTCTTTGTATCTGGGCACATATAGATTCTCACCTCCCTCTTCAGCTATTTCGACTTTCTTAAAAAGAAAAATAGAGACTGTCAGCGAATCTCCGGGAGTTGAAATAAGGATCGTCCCCTCGATAGACCTCAGACTCAGTAAAGTTCAACATTGGGCTCTTTTTCAACAGCTGTTTTTGCGGAAACTTTACATCTGGATTTTTTAGAAGCATCTGATTTTGCCCAATTTTAGTAAAATATGCTCCAAATTTTGCCAAAAAAGCAAGGTTAACTCCTTACCATTTTAGATTTTTCATACAAATCTGATTTTGCCAAATTTTACTAAATATTAAGGTACACCTCTTACAATTTAAAATTTTTCATAAACATTTCTTTTTGCCCAATTTTGCTAGAAATACAAGGTTAAGCCCTAACAATCCGCAATTTTCCAGAATCATCTGATTGTGTCCTATTTTGCTTAAAAAAAATGCAAGGTTAACCCCTTACAATTTGAATTTTTTTCATGAACATCTAATTTTTCCCAATCTTATTCAAAAAGCAAGGTTAACCCCTAACAATCTACAATTTTCCGGAAACATTTGATTTTTTCCCATTTTCGCTTTAAAAAAACGCGAGGTTAACCCCTTTCAATTTGAAATTTTTGTAACATCTAACTTTGCAAAATTTCACTAAAAAAGCAAGGTTAATACCTTACATCTGAAATTTTTTCGGAAACATCTGATTTTGCCCAATTTCGCTAAAATATGCAATGTACAATTTGAAATGTTTCATAAACATCTAACCCCATACAATCTGCAATTTTCCAGAAACATCTGATTTTTCCCGATTTTGCTAAAAAAAAAATATGCAAGGTTAACCCCTTACAATTTGATTTTTTTTTCAAAAACATCTAATTTTGCCCAATTTTACATCAACTTATGCTAACAAATTATCAGGTAACTGGATCATTAAACGGGACAGGTGCACATCGGCCTTGGAGCTCAGACCATGTGTCATGCACTCCTCAATGCATAGATGATGCACATAACACTATGGGTAGTACAGGCACAGCTTGGGGTACTGCCCAAACAATGATGAACGCATTGCGTATGCTTAAAGAATTACCCACAATTCCGGTTTTTACCGTTTAGGTCTGGCTCTAATCACTTTACGCGATCCGCTGACGTCTCATACACTGACTTTAGGTAAAATAGTCAGACTTTTGCGGTCTAGTAACCAGACTTTGACTCTTAACGAAACATCGAATGAAAAGGGAAATATCAAATGCATATTGCAAAAGATCGAATACAAATATACCGATGAAACATCGAATACAAATAGCTCGAAATGTCAAACATATGTGTAAAACATTGTTCACATATTTGAGAATATCGCAAATATATTGTAAAACAACACACACAACTGTATCGAAAAACATCGCACATTTAAGGCAAAAAATCGAACATAATATTGAAAACATCGCACATATATATCGTCAAAAACATCGCACATATAAATTGAAAATCGCATATAAATGTAAAACATCGCACACATATATTGACCATCGCACATATATTGTAAAACATCGCACAAATATATTAAACATCGCGCAAATAATGAAAAACATCGCACACTTATATTGAACATCGCACATAAATGTAAAAGATAACAAACACATATTGAACATCCAACATATATATTGCCAAATATTGAATATTGCAACGTTTGACACGCCATACGCTCGTGCTAGTCTTTTTGCGGGTCAGCATCCAGGGTGCGTTACGTGTCCGGATGGTCCGGGTATGGGCGCGTGGGACTTGACTAAAGGCTATTGCTGTCCAAGCTACACTGATGCATGCTACTAAAGATCCCTTCGGTGTTATAACCTTATCAGGACCGGGGTATTTTGGGTCATCTCAGGACCGGGTGGCACATTATGCCCCCCCCCCCCCCATCCTAAATTCCAAATGCGAATACAGATTTTCCTAAAATGTGGCAGGAATGTTGATTGGCCAGTAAACAATATGACGTCATTAGCTTGCACTGCGATGACCTAAGTAGCGCGCTAGTTTTGTGCCCAGTTTTGGCTTTAAAAAGTATTTTGGGCATATTTTCTACAGTTTTCATTCAAATATCGTCCAATTTGGCACAATTGGTTTGGGACATAAGGGCTTATGATCATGACGAAGTTCTGTATAGTCTACAATCTCAAGCTTGTAAACATCAAATTTGCAGTTATTATACCTTATCGCAAATTGGAATACTTTGCTCTCTAAGATTGACCGAAGCTATCTCTGATATTTGTACCTCCAAAGAGCTGGGTCAAATTATACAATTTTATCGAGGCGAGAATATTTGCTCTACTCTTCGGTACCAGTTGGTTTTCGTGAAGATTAAACTCCGATTAAAGTTCTGGTTCACCAATCGAATTGCGTCTAGATTTGCTTTCTGCCCACATGTTGTCTAAAATAAACAAAATCAGCCTCCAAAGTATCTCATTTGAATATTTATTCCCCGCTGTTTGCGTAAAAGTCCGAAGGGTCGGCCCCATTAATTACCAAAATGTCAACAAGTTTGATTTTTTCCTCACAAGTTCAACAAGTACGAGTTAAATTTAGTGCTAACACCGGCAGACCGGCCTGAAAAGCTCGTGTTTAGGCCTCGGTGCAGTTTTTTGGGGTAAAATCTGCTCGCCGTGTTTTGGATTACTTCTTGTCCGTTTTATGCAGAGGTCCAAGGCGGGCCAGATACAGCGAGCAATGCGGCTGCAGATTGTTGCGTTTTGTTCCCTGCTTGTTGCAGGTAAGAGCCCGTTTTCTTGCTCTATGTTGAGAGCTATAGTTGACTCAAAAGGCGTTCCAGTGCCTAAGAGAAGTCTGCGGGTTATTATGCACCGTTGGGGCGAGTTTTTAAAACTAAACAAAAATCCAATTAATTTTATGTCCACTATAATATACTTGTGTGTTTCTGTCATGTTGCATTCGAAACGGGTCCCGTTATAAGGACCGAAATATTACTTTAGGCCCTTTAATTTTGTTGATTTGTTTGTTTCAGGTCATTCCAGTTACGTTTGGGACAGTTTTATTCATTTTTATTTGTGATAGTCCTTATAAGGAAGAGTAATTTAAAAATGTCAATTAAGGGACTGATGATAAGTAAATGCTCCCCCCCCCAAAAAAAAGAACATCTGCTTTGTACATAAATATATGCCTTCAAAATAGAATGTACCAAAACTCGAATTTTTTGCAATTATATTTAACGTCAGAGGCAGATACATGAATTGTGTAGGGGGGGGGGGGGGTTCAGGTCCGTCAAGTTGGTTTATGTCCGATTGTTGCAGACAGGGGGACATAATAGGTAATGCAGCACATTGTTACCGATTCACTTATTGACATTTTTTTGAGGGGGGGGGGGTTGACACACCCCCCCCCTCTGGATCCGAACCTGGAAGTGATGAGAATTAATTTCAGTAACTCTGGTTTGATTCAAAGGAAACTGTTAGTCTACAACCAAATGCAAAGCCAACTTCACTCACACGGTTTTAAAACAGATACTTCCAGTTTTGTGTTTGACGTTTTAACAGCAGTCCCCTTGGTAGAAACTTTCTCCAAAAAAATATAGAGAGCACTTTTTTTCAATTTTAAAAGTACAGTTCCAGGCAACTCCAATCGAAGACAGCAAGGTTATAAAAACATACGAAGTTAACCTGTCGGTGCATGCCAGCATTTCTCAAGAAACCGGGTTTTTATGTTTAGACCCACTAACCTCGGCGATATTTTTTTCGGCAATTTTCTGACGACACCGCCCTTAGAGATGAGCTCAATTCGTCAAGCCTGAGACAATATTATACTTTTTAGGCCTGATTAATTTGGTGTCAAACAGAAATGGCTAAATTTAAAGTTTGATCGTGAGGTCTTTATAGTCAGCGTGTAGATTCGTAAAAGGAGCATCATTTGCAATGATAGAATCCTTGGCTTCATGATGTTGTTCCCTGAAGGCAATTAATATTGGTATAAACTTCTATTATATTTACGAGCTTTTTTGGTGATGAGATACAAAGAGGGATGAGATGACCTAAGCTCCACCCAATCCAATATGAGAGAAAATCACGCGCATTCGTAATCCTATACACACGCTTATTCGCGTGAATTAGAAACTTGCAAACTCACCATTTTATTCGCAGAAAGTTATCTCCATACTTTATCTGATATTATAGATAGTCGCACAAAAGCCCTACATGACTGTGAGCATATGTGGTCATGTAGACAAGGAACCACTTGACTTCTGCTCAGATAAGATTCGTACCAGGCTCGGTACAGATCTATCACGCCCATCAGGTCTGAAAAACAAGGCTCATGATGCGACTTTATAGATTGGTCGACATTTAACCTTATAGTTTCTGAATCACGCAGATCTGGGCTGCTGCTAAACACAGAATTTTGCCCAAGATTGTTTTGCTGAGCATAAAACGGCTATCAGTCACAAGCAATATACCAGTCACACAATGACAATTTAGCTGGTACCCTGTAATGTTGCATGGGCAACAAATTTAGCAAAAATGGTGTTGGCGCTCCATGAAATCTTCCCCATGCATGAGGCTTTGCATGGTTATGAAAACTATATCAGAAGTTTTGCGGCTCCACTATTTTGAAGAGGCAGTCTCTGATAAAAGCGAGGAGTGGCTCGGATAAGAATTGTGATCAGTATGCTCCGATCGTCACACTATAAACTCCAAGTATCGTTACACCTCACCTCCTTCAGGATGCATTAACTGTCCCCTATAGCTTGCTCGTCTTGCTGCATTCTGTCAAATTCCGTCGATCCACAACGGATACTCTTTATTTGGGGGGGGGGGGGCAGTTGTTGGTATCACAGACAAATTTATAAATATACAAACACAAGTGGGGAGTAAAATAAATGCTTTGTTGGTTTCATTTTTCTATACAAGGTTTCTCAAAATATATACCAATCTTTTTAATGTAAATTATCAGAAATGTATGCGTACTGAATATTTCAGCAAGAGGCAACCACATGGGGAAATGCAAGGACGTCCTCTATCCAATTGTATATTATTACGTCATTGTCATGGATGACTGGGCAAGCGCAAACTGATAGCCTGTACGAAAGAGGTCAAAATCAGCACATGACAATGACGTAATGAACTTAATAATAACATTGGATAAAGAACATCCTGCAGGCCTTTTTGTCTAATGTAGTTGCCTCTTTCTGAAATATTCAGTAGGCCTTTATTTCTGATAATTCACATTGGAGACACCCTATAAGTAAAATAATATAAGTGCGTGTATTTGAAATGCCACTTGAACCTCTATTCAGTACATGTAATATAAAACGTTAGAATAACTGCCGTTATTTTTCACGATCTTCTGTGGACGATAACATGTAGAAGAAAGATCCACGGCAAAAGATTCAAGGTTTTGAAATTTCGAAACTTTGAAAGATTATAAATAAACTTCTAATCTTGGTCACAGCCATGACATTTGAACCAAAATAATACTTTCTGCATGCCCGTGCTAGTGACACCGAAACTTTTGTGACACCGAACTTTTAACCTTTATCTTACTTTTCGAAGACCGGCATTTAGTTTTGTGAGGTCAAAGAACCAGGGAAGCATAAATAAATAATAAAGTCGAAAATAAAAAAAACTTTCCTATTATTTCATCGATCTTTTATATGAATTCGTTTTGGAATGTCCTGATGTACGCCTGACTGCAAGTCCATTATGGGCCATAGCTATGGGGTATAGTTTTAGATTGTAGGGATAAAAAAGGAGGTATCCTAACCGCCACTGAGAATCTCGCATCCAACACCATAGGATTAATTACTTAATTTTGATAAAGTTGAAGCAAACTTGAAACCGGGTGAGGATCACCAAACATTTTAAGTAACTTTTTGTGTATACAGTGTGTATAAAAAAGAGACATTTAGAGAAAAAAAAAATTGAAAATACAAGCTCCTATTTTGTTTAATAATAACTTATATACGCTTTTAAAATGATTATTACAATGCTGTTTTTTCTATCTCATTTGAACACCTACATCCAGAGATATAGACAGTTAATTGAAAGGGATGATATGTCAATGTGGTCCAATGTGCATCAAAGTGGATGAAAGGAGATTAACATGCGAGTGATCTCTCTTTTGGCCAACTTTAATGTTCTTTGCCAATCAGTATTTAGTAGTTGGAACCTATATGATTCATTGATTATGTAACCGTTTGCATAATCATTGGAGCATATAAACTTAGGTTGTTCCAAGTCAATATTGATTGGCAAAGAACATCAAAGTTGACCAACAGAAAGATTGCTGGCATGTTAATCTCATTTTATCGAATTTCCTGCAAATATTGGATCACATTGACATATCATCACTTTCAGTTAGCTGTCCTCGATCTGGATATAATTATATATGTGTCCAAATGAGATAGGAAACACAGCATGGTGTTGAGAAATAATAATTGTTTAAGCGTATATAAGTTATTATTAAACAAAATAGGATCTAATATTGTTTAAACATTTTTTCTCTTTATTTTTTGGATACACATTTTGTAGGTTTGTAATTTGTTTACAGTTACACATTTGCACTGATTCATTGAATCTGCAGTTGCGGCACAGAATGGGATAGTGAAATGCGGGGGCAGTTGGCAGCAACTCGGCGAGAAATGCTTCCTGGCCGTGGCGGGCTCCAACCGCAACTGGAAGGACGCCCGGAGTGATTGCCAGACTAGGGCCGGAACTGATCTGGCTGTTATCCCTGACCAGGCGACCACTGTAAGTCAAAAACTGGGCCTGGGCAGGATCCAAAGGATGGAAAACTGGGATTGAGGGGGAGTGGCTGCCACACACCGGCGGGATGTTGCGAAGATACTTGGGGAGGGGGAGGGGACCCAGATCATCATAATCGTCTTGTACTTTCGTTTATACTTTGAAATTTGATATGTTTTGCCTAAATAAGGATAACTTCACAAAGTCACAGGATGTCATTAAGGGTTCCCCTTCTCTGAATCGAAGGAGAAAAAGTCCGAGTAACGTTTTCTTTGTGTTTCGTTTTGCTTCGTTTTTAACCCTTTGGTGCCCAGATTATTTGGATTAGATGCACTGAGATTATAGCGTGTCACCATATAGAAATACTGAAAGATAACTCCAACTGGGAATGAATTCTGGCGTAAAAAAAATGAAATAAAACTCTCTTTCCCAAACCCACTATATAACTTTAAGGATTGAAAAATTATCAATTCAATATATATATATTGGCGTATTTCCTCCCGAAAAAATTTGTCTAAAATCGTTCCTGGCCCATTTTATTTCTCATGGAGAACTTTAGATGAACTTATTCAGGCAATACGTCAACTAAAAACAAACTGACAGATCGACGGACCGACAGTCCAACGAACTGGCGACCGACCGACCGACCGACTGACCGATCAGAGCACCACTCGCACGGACCGTTATAGCAACTGATGGCTGTCTCTGCATTTCTCCTGTGCTGATCTTTGAAGGTCCAATAAATTCTCCTTTTTTTCCAATCCAGACTTTCTTACAGTCGATGTTGGCAGGGGTCACATCTCAGTATTGGATAGGACTACATGACCTCCCCAATGAGAACGATTTCAGATGGGTCGACGGCCAGTCGCTTATCGATACAAACTACACGTAAGTTAACAGGCCGGCTTTGAAATGTGGTAGGGATTTGACGTTTTTAAAAATGCCATGAGATCCTACTCAGTAATGTTATTTCAGTTGCATAAAACATGTAGCATGAGACAGTTTTTAAACGTTAGTTTTCTTTAATTTGTAACAAGCCATGTCCGTCTTTATGTTTAAGTTTCTCTCAGTGTTCCGAGGGCACTGTTTTTTTCCCCAACCAACTTATTACTCGAGCGCCCTCTGTTGCCGAATGAAAGTAATTTCATAGAAAGGCCGCAAACGCGGTGTGGTCAAATCGTGGAGTTGTCAATCTCAACATATTCCTTCATGGGTAAGGAAAATCAACATTCATGACCTTGGTAACGAGTGTTGTCGGGTACATGTATAAAAAAATGTATCACTTGTGTAAAAGGTTTATCGTAAAAGCCTATTTTTGGGGTTTTTTTTTAACGGAAAGAGATTGAATTTTTGTGGTTCTGCTCTGGATGAAAACTTTCTTGCACATGTTGCATAAAGCGCTGATAAGATATAGAGCGCCCTCAGTGCTACTTCTAGAATTAAAAGGCTTCTCTCCGTCAGCCTCTTCTATTATAATATCAGTAGCATGGTGATTTTTCGGGGGTCAGCACGCTGTGGCTTTTGGAAATGCCCTTTGATAGACCATGGAGGAATAAGAACCTCCATGGATAGACGAAATACCTTTGTCTGAAATTCCACTTTCTGAAACACAAATCCACCAAAAAAGTTGAGCTGGTTGATCTATAACTATGAAATGTTTTAGAATGATTGACATTTGGAATGGGACAATTTTTTTGGGTGGCGGCTGAGTTTTAGTTTTACTCACCGGCCTCGCGTTGCCGATCCGACGAATACAGCGGTCATGTTCATGTGTGTTTACGTACGTTTTTTACGGACGAAAATGTTTTTTTGTCAGCAAAGATTGAAATAAATTTTTCTAGAGTTTTTCTGACATTAATTCCACCAAAGAAAACCCATTTGGAAGATGGGTACCAGCCAGCGGCGGCGGAATGGGTTTGAAACTGGGGGGGGCATCACCAAAAAGGGGCATGTGCAAACACTTGGGGGGGGGGTGTCCGGACAAATCTTGTCAGCGCGATAACTTGAGAAATACTTAACATATGAACTTCAAATTTGGTTTGTGTATTGTTCTTGGTAATCCTAAGAACCCTTTTGCATTTGGGGCCGAAAGGTCAAGGGTCAAGGTCACAGTGACTAAAACAATAGAAATTTTGTCAGCGCGATAACTTGAGAAATAATATATAAAATTCAAATTTGGTTTGTGGATCGTTCTTGGTAATCCAAATAGGCCTATCGCATTGGGGGTCGAAAGGTCAAGGGTCAAGGTCACAGTGGCTAAAACAATAAAAATCTTGTATTTATTCTGTGATCATAGGGATTTATTAAGGAATAATTCATATAAAACCTACAGAAGACACTATAATGCTGTCAATGAACGTTCCATGTGACCAAGGTACATGTAAGTTGATGTTAAAAGGGTGGTGTTATGTCATGGGAACAGTCACGGTTGCGGGGCATTTGTGTTTGTAAACACCGTGACCTGACTTGTTTTTACACTGTATTTGCAATTTTAGTGACTGTTTTAAAAAGTGGTGTCAGTTAGGATACAGTATCCCCCCCTCCCATAGGTATCTCTCTCTCATATTGTTTTTCGAATTTAATAAAATTTCTCAAAAACAATGTTGCAACCTGACGCCGCGATTGCGGACAAAGTCTATGGACAGTCAAGAAACTTTTCTAAGTGTTTCCTAACAAAATTTGGAATATTTCTCAGTCCCAGATTCATGTCTTATCATTTTTGCATTGATCATTAAGATGATATATGAAGAAAAAAGTGGCGTCAGGTTGCAACTTTTTTTTCCCATTTCTCTTCAACCTTAGGAACTGGGCGCCTAACCAACCCAACAACGGTTGGTTTTTCTCTGAGGATTGTGTTACCTTCAAACCGTCCACTGGCGAATGGAATGACGCGACCTGTGACTTCGGTACCAGGCCTTACATCTGTGAAAGGAATAGCTGTAAGTGACAAACATCTCAGCTGATTGCTAGTATGGGCCCTTGGATTAGCATCGGAGATGTAACTGACAGGCCGGGAGGGGGTGGGGACAGTCGTGTTTTTCCGTTAGTCTCGAGGACGAGGCTTTGTCTTATCCTCTTTTCCTGTGATGTAACACTTTCTTGTAGACTAACCACACACCTTTACTCCTGAGGAACACCTTCAAGAAAAGACGAACTCCCGAGGACAACAAAGAATCTGGTGTTCTTTCTTTGTGTGATCTGGTCTCCGGGTGTGTGTAAAACATGTACATCCACACATGCCCACACGTTTGTTTATGGTGTAAATCAAGGATTTATTTTTGTTCCTCTTCCCTTTTCCTTTGTTTGTACCCTAACTTTTTTGCAACAGCTCTCATTGGTTTTGTACACGTTTTCTAATCGAGGTCATCCTCGATTTGGTTCCTGATCTTGATTCACCGATGATGTTGCACGTGTGTGTCCTCGATTTACACCATAAACAAATGCCTGCAACTAATTTGTGTCCCCATTCTTTAGAAAAACACACAACCCCCCCCCCATTAATTTGGGGTAACTATCGAGCCTTTTATGTAATTCACTTATTTACATAAAAGGGTGCATCATTGGTTGACCATATTTTTGAAGACAATCCCTTTAAGTAGCGCAGTAAGGAATTATTCAAAGATAAATTGTAACAAAAAAACCTAAAAAACAAACCTAAAAACAGTTCAGAAAAAAACAGATTGCAAAAAATTGCAATTGGAGGTCGACATTTTTCCACAATGCACTGCAGGCAGGCCGGCCGGCCAGGATTTAATTTCTTCATCGAACTCTGCAACTATTCTTTACAGTGGATCTCTCGATCTGTTCGGTTCAAAAGCAAATTTCTGAAAGATTGCACTCACTCAAAAACTGATCGGGGCAGATTGTTAGAAATTTCTTCTTTTTAAAATTGTTTATTTTGCTGACCTCACTTTTCCCAAAGCATCCATTCCAAAATGTGACGAGTCCCACGGCTGGAGGAGCTACAACGGCAAGTGCTACCAATTCTTCTACGATTACCAGACATGGCAGACGGCCCAAGACACCTGTTCTTTCTACAAGGATGGCCACATTGCGTATGTCAAGAGTCCCGAGGATCAAGCCTTTCTGGACGATCTGCAGCTCATGCATGGCTATTCCTACTGGATTGGCCTGCAGGTAAGTGTCAGCAGGTGTTTTGACACTACGGGCTCCGTGCGCGAACCACAGAGGGCTTTTTTTGACCGCTTTTGCCTTGGGAGCCCCGTTAACGGGACACACCGTGTGTGCGTATGGCTTGCTCGCATATGCGAAGGTCACATGACCTATTTCATTCTGAATGTGCCCAAAGCACAATGTGAAGGGCAGACTTCAATATTGACTGTTTGAGAGGTCAGCGAAGTTCGCGAACTAACTTTGGTCCTTAGCTACCAACCAACAGCAAGCTCTGCAGGTTCGTTTGCATCGTATGACAATGCGCCTTTGTTACGCTAATTTGCTACAGCTGCTGAGTTCGCAGCGTATGCGAACCTATTGTACACGGAGTATTCATGACCATCTATCAATGCTCCGGTAATACAATTCAAGTTGTTTTTTGGCATCGGCGGTATTTGTTAAATCAGGAGCAAAGCGCTGCATTCCCGAATATTTTCCTGAGATTTGTTTTTTGAAAGGTGGCAAATTTTTCGACACATCGTTTGTTAAATGTTGACAAGTCGAAATCAATTTCCTGACGTGGGAATGAGGAAAGAGTTCCATACTGGGCCACCACTTATATTCCCTAATATGACCTGAAAAGTACCAAAAGTTGTAAATCTGATGAAGAAACACTATTTAAGGAGAGCAAAAACTTTTAAAATACTTTTAACTTTTGCTGTCATGGCCCATAGACTTAGTGCAGGAGGTCTGAGTGGTGGCCCAGTATGGAATTCTTTCCCGGAACGAAAGTTCCTTACCACAAGTTTCTTGGCCCTTGGGAAATATTTCAACTTCACACCTTGCGGTATTCATCAAGCACAAAGACTGCAACAACTGATCGTATTCTCAGGAAGCATTTTCCCTTAAAATACGACGTTATTTGTATGAACTGGATTTTTTATATAACTAAGCACCGATTGTTCTGATACCGAAAATGTACTTACCATTGAGGGGGTACATTAGCACTGAGCCCATCATCTCACCTACACCTGTTGATAAATCAACATGAGTTTCCGTGATGAGCAGAACAAGGTCAATCAAGCATGGGTTGACAAGGCATACCTTTCAAATTTAAAGAGGTTGTGGAATGCTCGAAGACATATCCGTCATTTTTTGGGTATATGTAGCCTAAGGTGTGATGAAATAAAAACGACTATTGTTTCTGTCATAAAATGAGTACAAAAGGTACTTTTGAGAGCTGTTTTTAAAGTCCTGTCATGCCTGTTTCGACCCGAACGTGCAATTTGTGTAAAAGTCGTCGTTGCGGGCAGCAAACAAAACACAGTAAATCGTGATGTAATAAACAGGACTCCCGGTGCAGAGTAGCATAAACGAGTCCTGTTTATTACGTCACGATTTACTGTGTTTTGTTTGCTGCCCGCAACGACGACTTTTACACAAATTGCACGTTTGGGTCGAAACAGGTCCTGAAAAATAGCTCTCAAAAGTACCCTTTGTACTCATTTCATGACAGAAACAATAGTCGTTTTTATTTCGTCACACCTTAGGCTACATATACCCAAAAAATGACGGAAATGTTTTCGAGCATTCCACAACCTCTTTAAACCATTTTGTATATGGCTGCACCATAGAGTTTGGATTTTCTATTAGGAGCTTCTGAACATTGGTCTTGATCACTGTCTGATTATAACCATTTTGGAGCTATGTTGGAGTCTTGCTAGTGTGGAAGTGGTTTCTGAATATCAGATGGTCAGAATATAAGCAAATATGCTGTTTTGTGTCTCATTATTTTCTAATTCTCTTCATTTTTGTTCTGTTCAAAATACAGGATGGTAGCACGAACGGTGCTTACCAGTGGTCGGATAAGACCAAGTTTGACCTGACCAACGATTTCTCTAATTGGGAGACTGGCCAGCCAACGAACAAGTACGTAGATCGCGTGGGACTCTTTCTCTAGAAAGGACCTCTCAAACAATTGTTACATGTAGGATGTGGCAATTTCATTGGGGAGGGGGGCATAAAATGAAAGGATGCGAACAAATTCTTCAATAACATTCCACAACTTTTTAACAAAAAAAATTGAAATTACCCGTGTCCATGATGTCCGAGGACGGTTATTCAGGGGTGAAGGAATTGGTCTGAATTGTGATGACAATGGTATATCACATGCATAGTCACCTTCTTCAAGTTAGTTGATTCACTTTTGTTTATATTATTTTTCCAATTTTTTGTTTTAGTTGGTATGGTAACGAGGGTGATTGTGGGAATGTGGACACATCAGGACATTGGACCATAAGCAAATGCAACGACATGATTGATTATGTTTGTGAAATTCCTGAAGGTAAGAAACTTTGCTAAATTGTTTAATCCTTTACTTCTTGCAATTGTTTCCATTTTATACTTATGCCTCTAGAGCTAAGAGAATGCATACAATGAAACCAATCGACAAAAGAACGGTTGAACAAAATCGTCAGTTCAGTGCATGACATCGTGTAGCTGCAATCGGCTGAATGAGAATGTGTCCCGAATGCTGATTTCGGGTGCAATTCAAAACATGACTCCACAACTTTCGAATTGATATCGACATCCTAGAATATTGTTTTTTTCCTGGAATATGCAGCATCCACAGAGCTAAAATTTCATCAGGTTAGTTGTTAAGCACCCTTCTTTAGATTTTAAGCACTTTTGTCACTTCAAACGAAAGAAATGCACAAATGACAAACGATCTACTCTACCCTTAAGGCATTAAGTGGTGCATTCCCCTCCCTCATATCTGACTTTGCACAGACTTTCCGCCCCAGACGTGATAATCTCCACTCTACTCACAAGTCACTTCGTATGGAATGGATGTAAAATACCAGTGGGGAGATCGATCCCTCCAGGTGGCATCTTCCAAAGTCTGGAATGCTCTCCCTCCTGAGTAACAACAGATGTCTTCTCTTAAGGGAATTTAATTGGAACTGAAAACTCACTTGTTTCAAAGGCATTTTTCTGTAAAACTGTAGACATTTGATGATCAGTGCATCTGGGCCCAATTTCACAGCGCTGCTTAGCACAAAAACAGTCTGGCTTATAAAAAGGTTACCAGCCAAAACTCCATGTGATTTTCATGCTAAGCAAACAACAGCTGAATACTAATCACGAGCAATATACATCACATGGAGTTTTGGCTGGTAACCTGCTTTTATAAGCCAGACTTCTTTTGTGCTAAGCAAATTTTTGTGCTTAGCAGCGCCGTGAAATTGGCCCCAGGTATGTTGAAGCTGAAGTTGTTTTGAGCTAGCGCCACGACTGCTTTCGAGCGGATGTGGGTACTCTATAAGACTCTGTTATTATTATTATTAACTGTGCGAAGAGCGAAATAGTCTGAATTTTCAGAAAACCTTTTGTTTCTCTTTTGTCTGTTTGTTTGTTTGTTTGTTCTCAGGTGCCTGTGCTCCTGGGTGGTATCTTGTCAACGGAAACTGCTACCAAGTCAACTCCCAAACTCTGAGGACCTGGACCGATGCCAAACAGTATTGTGAAGCACAGCTGGCCTTTCTGACCACCATCAAATCGTAAATATTTTGTTTTTCCCCGTAAAACAGAATTCAAGTATTGCATTGTCAAATATACAGTATCAACATTTCGCAAAACTATTTTTTTTTTTAGCATCTCAAAACAATCAGTTAATTTTTCTCAAAGGCTGTTTGCTGGTTTAAAATTTTTTTTTTTTTACCTTTTTGACCAAATGAAGAATCCATATTTTTGGGGATAAGATTTAATGAAAAGAATGAGTTTGTTGGAAATATACAAGCTTTGTAGGTTGTAGTGAGTGAAGCACATTCCCCTTCAAAACTGTTGGACCCCCTGAAAAAACACAAAAAGCAAGAAAAATCCATTTCAATTTAAGTTTGGAGAATGAAATAGTACACCAATTTTTATATTATCAGTAGTTAATCCCTCTGTAGAAAATTATAAATCACTTTAGTTCAAATATTTTGGGAGTTTCAAAAATTGCTCTGTTCTTCCCTCATTTAGGGGACGATGTTTAGTGCATCTCTACTGAATGTTACCGTTATGACAAAGCTAGTGCCAATCAAACAAGAGTCATCATTTTTATATTATTCTTTTTGAATAATAACTGTTGATGGTTCTGTTCATTATTAGAGAGGTTTTCGTCTCATGGTTTTTCTCTTTTATTACGGCTTTTTTCAGGGATGCGGAGAACAACATGATCAAATCTTTTCTGAGTGATCTCAACAGCCAAGGCATCAATGAGCTCTACATCGGGGCTTCAGGTTTGTTGCTGAGCTCAAAAAAAGTTTTTCATTGACAGATTATCAGATAATCACTAAAGAAGAGAATAAAAAACTTTTCATACATCAGCTGGCCTAGTAATAACAATCGGTACTTTCTTACACAGTCATGAGGTATCAAATTGAACTGGAAAGTTTCCGTGACAAACCGTATATTTCACATTTTATGTTCACTGAGAAATGTCCAAACCAAGATGATTATAAAAAACTGCTCAGTTTCTCTTTGTGCCAGGTGTACTGTTTTTATCAAACACCTTGCAACATAGGTGGCAGAGGTGGGAGGAGAAGGAAAGGGGGCGTGTCCTCCCCCTCCCCACCCACCACCACCCCTGTTTGAAAGTTTCCTCCATTGCCTTCCCCCTTTTAGACCACAAGACGTTGGACCGCAAGACCATTATTGCCCTGTAACCCCCCCCCCCCTCCTTCCCAAGCCTGCTCCCAACTGACCGACTATCATTTTCCGTCTCAATCATCGTCAGATCTCGTGAAGGATGGCACCTTTGTCTGGGTTGACGGCACGTCTGCTCGCTCCCCGTACTCCCACTGGGTCAGCGGTCAACCTCCAGACACCCCAGATCAGAAGAAAGACTGTGCTTACATAGACACAGGTTTGTACCCGATTTGACATTCAGAAATGAAGTTGAATACAAAAATTAAAAGTTGAAATCCTCAGATCATTGAATAAAATTATTATCTGCCAAGTTAACAATCTTCAGTAGGGTGTATACAGGCTGAGTAAAAAAAAGCGGAACCCAAACAAACCCCAAAACATTTATTTTATATATAAAAAAATATGTATCACCAAACATCATAATGAATGGGAAGCCAATTTCATAAGCTACTTTTAGATGAATAAATGACTGAAATTGCTCAATCCGTTCAAAGACTGTCGCCATTTAAGCGCAATGACCCTAAAACCCGTTTCATCCAAAGTAAAAAGGAATTTATCGTGTATTCTGACTGTTTGGAACAATAAAGAAAATGACACAGAATATTTGTTGCAATAACTATCAACAAGTGTAGGACACAGTATCTTTATTAACCCTGGTTAGGCAAAACATATTATTTATGAAACCCACTTTTTTTCACAAAGACTTTGTTGAATATTTTTAACTTTTAAACTGAGGTTTTATCACTGGTGATTTTTAAAGACAATTGTGACAATGATTCTAGAAATCGCATTTTTGGACGAAAGAGGTTTTAGGGTCATTGTGTTTAAATGGTGATATTCTTTAAACGGATTGATCAATTTTCAGTAATTGTTTTCATCTAAAAGTAGCTTATGAAATTGGCTTTCCAGTCATTATTATTTTTGTTGCTACATATTTTTTAAAAATATGAAAAACATTTTTTGGGGGTTTGGGTTCCGCTTTTTTTTACTCACCCTGTATGAACAGTGGGCAACTTAAAAATCAGTGGTCTAAGTCCATCAATATGCAAGACCATCTATGTAAGAAACAAATTTTACCCAACCATACCAGTGGATTTAGCACCCACAATGCAGTATGAGCCCTTTCTGTGGACTGTTTTGGGATCTGTTAGGCCAAAAAAAAAAAGTCTCCGGTTTCTGGTAAGGAGCTTACCCAAAAAGTGGTGCGGCGACGCATTTTTTTTTTTTTTTTACCTGATTTTTTTTGCTTCAAATGTCGGCTGATGACTGCAAATGGTGCCCGACTAAACTTAGTGCAAATATATGGGAGTCCAGGGAGGCCACATAAAGCTTATTCTCGACCATAACCCAATCTAAAAACACATTAAAATTGTGCAGCAGCAGGATTCCAGTCAAACCAGTGAGTTTGGCGGTTTGAGACATCATCTTTCATTGAAAAAAAACTTTTTCATTTTGCCGACACGCATGGCTACGGCGACGCGCGCGCATACCAGAAACCGGAGACATTTTTTTTTTGGCCTTATATTCTTTTTTTTAAATTGCATTTTAAACAAAAATTGATATTTTTTTTTAGCGGACAGCTTGGATGGTGAATGGAGAGCTGGGGATTGTTTCATGTTGGGAGCCTATGTTTGTCAAACCAAAGCAGGTAACTCGATCATCAAATCATATTAACTATAACTCCCTAGGTATTTTTGCTAGGATGCAACCTCAATCCTGCAATATCCTCCAACTGCCTCCATGTAAAAAAAAAGCATACATCCTGAATCGTATCCTGCAAAATCCTCCGTTATGTCTTGAATGTGGTCCTTGGAGGGGTGACCACTGCCAGCAGTCTCTGTCAATTTGTTGAGGCAGAGCCAGTGACATCCTGGAGCATTGCGGAGGATTTCAAGTGTAATCTAGGCCTCAATTTATGCGCGGCTGAGCATAAACAACGGCCCAAGACCTTGACACAGTGCATCCTCCGAAATCAGCAACACATTTTTTGCCATGTAGCCTCAATCCTGCAAAATCCTTCAATTTGCAAACAGGATTTTGGAGGATTTGGGAAGGTTAGGGTTACCTATCGCCGTTTGCAAGTTAGCCACGCCCCTTTAGACAGCCCTATGGAATTTCTGTACGATAAGTTTTGTTTGTCTCAGATGTTGCGCGTTCTGCGTCCATTTGTGTAATCATGTAATTGGACAATATTTCACAAGCTGCGTTGACGTGATTCTAACGCGATAGGTCAATAGGCCACATTAGATTATAGCGTATGCATGTCTAGAACCAAGACAGCCACAGTTCAAACTGATTTGTCTATTTCAAGGAGACCATAAGTACAGCCACAAAGCAGGTAAACATTAGACCCAAACTCTGATGAAAAAACTGTGGTGGGGCAGGGTCCAGGGGCTTATGGCAAAAATCAACAATAATTTAAATATTCCCAAAAATGTTCTCAGTTATGCCATTTGTTTCATCTTGTCTTTCCTGTACAGGTCACAAAGTGGAGTCCGTGCCTTCAACTCCCAGTAAGTTGAAGAACCCACTTATTTTGTTTTATCGAGATGAACAGTACAGATTTGAATTTACTGCATAAATTACTTGCTGTGACTTCATAAATTAAAGAGGTTGTGGAATGCTCAAAGACATTTCCGTCATTTTTCGGGTATAGGTAGCCTAAGATGTGATGAAATAAAAACGACTATTGTTTCTGTCATAAAATGAGTACAAAAGGTACATTTGAGAGCTGTTTTTCAAGTCCTGTCATGCCTCTTTCGACCCGAACGTGCAATTTGTGTAAAAGTCGTCGTTGCGGGCAGCAAACAAAACACAGTAAATCGTGACGTAATAAACAGGACTCCCGATGCAGAGTAGCATAAACAAGTGCTGTTTATTACGTCACGATTTACTGTGTTTTGTTTGCTGCCCGCAACGACGACTTTTACACAAATGCGTCGTTGCGGGCAGCAAACAAAACACAGTAAATCGTGACGTAATAAACAGGACTCCCGATGCAGAGTAGCATAAACAAGTCCTGTTTATTACGTCACGATTTACTGTGTTTTGTTTGCTGCCCGCAACGACGACTTTTACACAAATTGCACGTTCTGGTCGAAACAGGACCTGAAAAATAGCTCTCAAAAGTACCCTTTGTACTCATTTCATGACAGAAACAATAGTCGTTTTTATTTCATCACACCTTAGGCTACATATACCCCAAACATGACGGAAATGTCTTCGAGCATTCCACAACCTCTTTAATATTTGCCTTTGCGTTCTCATTGACAGTGAGCCAGCCTGTACTGATTTCTCTTTTTCTTTGTTTCCTTTGGACAGTAACTGACCACTGTGACGGGCCGGGTTGGGATCTGCACAAAAACTACTGCTACGAGATTGTCCTGACGTATGAAAAGTGGGCCGACGCTGACACAAAGTGTAAAGCACTGGGGGCCGAGTTGGTCAGCATACATAGCGACGATGAACAATCCTTCATGTCGGGTGAGACCATATTCTCTGACATTTTGTTTCATTTTGTTATTGATGTTGTTGGAAGTTGCCCATTAAAATGCTGAAAGCAACTTGAGGTAGGACTAAGGAACTAAGGCTTCCTTTACCGTTGTACCACCTATGAGCGACCGAAAAAATGGCCAGGACGCTCAATGGTCACCTAAACCCAGAAAATCCTGTTTCTATGTAACTGCTCCAGTGATCCTTGTGCCTCCCTTGAACCGCCAAAACTGCAATTTTCGGGCATTTTCATGTCAAGCTACGAGCGACCTGTGCATCCACTGAGCCACTTGCCTGCCTCCCCTGTGCTTCCCCTGTGCAACCTACGGCAACCAACGCCGAATGGAGGCACAGCGGTCGCCACAGTCATCGTTCAATGCACGCTCTTGGTCGGCCAAAGGAGGCACAAGGGAGGCAGAAGCTTATCACCCAAATTGACGGTAAAATTTGCAACAGAACGAATCTGTTACGTGGCGACCATTGGCCGACCATTGTGCATCCATTCTGCAACCACGGCAATGAGTGTGCCTCCCCCTTCTGCCTCATTTGAGCCACCTTTAAGCAACCAACCTCCTCGGCGACCTTTGTGTGATTGTTTTGAACATGTTCAAAGTTTACGGCGACCATAGCGTCCATGGAGATGTCTGAGCATCCTTTGTACCACCTTTGAATGACAGGCAACCATTTGGCCTCCTTTGAGCCTCCAACGGCGACCTGGCCAGTTTTATGGTCGCACAAGGGAGGCCCAAAAGTTTTTGCCCTGTGTAAAGGGGGTCTAAGCCAGACACAGGTGTTGCTTACACCTGTACTCCAAAAGCACACCTGGGTGGTGTGGTTGATTATGGTGTACAAGTACATGGGCGTCGCCAGGATTTTTTCTAGAGGGGGGCAAAAAAAATGTTTGCCAAAAAATGCTTGTATTTCTCAACACATTCTCGATTTATCAGTTTTAGAGGGGGGAAGGGACATTTTGCCCCCCCCCCCAACTCATTAAATTTACACCACTTTGTCTTCGCGCCTCTTTTTCTTTTCTTTTTTTTTCTTCCTTTTTGTTTTGTTTTTGTTTTTGCTTTTCCAGGGGGGGGGGGGGGCAAGTGCCCCCCTTGCCCCCCCTCGCGACGCCCATGTACAAGTACCCCTTCAACTGTGAGAGATTTAAGGATATTTGAGTGCCATGGAAGCCGTGTGCCCAGTTTCAGATCCTCTGCAAAGAGCTTATAGGTTTGTCCACTGTCAAACAAAAATTGGCCAAGCAGTAACAAAACACTATCCATCTAACAAAACATTAACATCGTCCATCTATTTCTACTTTGTAGTCCGTATCAGCGTGATGAACCAACGTGTTTGGATGGGACTGAACGACCAAGCCACAGAAGGGACCTTCGTCTGGACGGATTCGACAAACGTAATAATTTTACTCCGCCTAAATAATACATGTATCAGCTTAACGTTTTTGGGTTTCTGACTTTGGAGATTGCGGTTCAGTATAGGTGTGGGCAGGATTGCATCAGCCGATGAAAACATCTATCCATTTGCACACCAGTTTTCATCGGTTGTGATGAATTTAATACCATTCACGAAATGAAGGTTTCTTAATGATTGTGGATCAGGGGATGTAGCCACAGCTGAATCAAAGCCAATGATTGGTGAACACTCTCACGGTAGTATTAAGCTACCAAATAGGCCTCTGTACTGATGACGTCACACTTTGTTTACATGTGCACTTTCCTATGGAGCCAGTGGGGGCCCAAGGTCCACTGAGCACCATAGGAAAGCACACACGTAAACAAAGTGTGACGTCATTAGTACAGAGGCTTTATTATAACGCACACCTTACTCACTTGCAATGTTACAATATAACAAAGTCTGTCACAAGTCAATATGGCCCATCAGGCTGGCATTTATCTCCGGTTTCCTTGACGTGAACCGACTGAGAATATTTCTGTTCAGCCTGGATGGGATGCCAGTCCATCGCAGGTTACTCCCCAGCTGATGCCAATACCCATTTTTACTCCTGGGTTAAAAGAGGCAAGCTGGGGTGAAGTGGCTTGCCCAAGGACACAACATTGGTCAGCAGGTGGATTTGAACCCCTGACCCTCTGATCATGAGTCACTACAATGTACAATATTACAATAAGTCACAATTTGTGCTACTCCGGTATCCAACCCTCATTTCAGGATAATTCTTTACGGATCACAGTACTTGAATAATATCCTTATACCCTGTTCACATTTGACCGATGGAAATATAGATTTACGACTTGAGACACCGCAGAATGAAGCATTATTCATTTGCTTTCAGTTTGATTACAATAACTGGGCTGACCCCAACGCCATCGGGAGTGAGGACTGCGTGAGCATGGAGGGCCATACCACGAGCTATGGACTGTGGAAAGCACGCAACTGCGACGAGCTGAACTACTACGCTTGCAAGAAACCGTCAAGTGAGTCAGCTGAGCTATTGAGTCAAAAAAAATATAAAAATATAAAAAATGAAAGAACTGAATTTATGTCAAATGTACACAGCTTGACCACTCATAAAAATTTGAAAATCCCAAGATGACCACAGAAAAATTCCCAAGATTTCCCAAGATATCGGCATTATGTATCAAAATAGCAGCATGGACCCTATTTTTCTTATGAATGGGGCGCACAATTAACATTTTGCACATGTACAATCCATACTTTCTAAGCTCTCTCTGTAATATGCAATCAAATCCCACAGCTCAGCGAAACGTTCCCAAGACCACGCTAAAATTCCCAAGATCTTTGGGAAAAATCCCAAGGAGTGGCCACGCTGAATGTACACATCACATTCAATGTCATAAAAATCAAATATAAAATAATACATTTTATTCCAAGTGAGAGACAGACTTTATTTTCCTTCTAAGTCTTTGTTTTCTTTTCTTTTGCCCAATTTTAGTCAAAGGAACAGCAGCCCCCCCTCCACCACTGCCAACAAGTAAGTCTATTTTAAAAAAAAAACGTAGAAAGGAAAAGACAATTTGTTTGAAAGGGCTCATGCAATGTAATTTTTTAATGCAATCCTTGAAAATGCACCTTTTTGTGTCCTATTTTTTTTTTGTTTGGCCTTTTGGTATTTTATGCTAATAAAAATTTGCATATTCAGGTTCGCGTTCCGATCTGACAAATAATAGCAACCGCGCTGCAGACACTTGTGCGTGCTTCGCCGAATAAAAAAATGAAAATTTCCAACGGTGCGTCTTAAGAAGTGCAGTTTTCAATAATATTTACAAAAAAAAGGGATGTCAAGTACTTTTCACACACAAAGGGTAGTAGAAAAAGGCACAAAATTTGTTCTCACGAAAAACTCATCGCACGGACCTATCCAGATGTGATGAGGCTAACACTCAAATGAATTTTAAAGAAACGCTAAAATCCCTCAGACTGACTTGTTAGTATTCACCCCCCCAATAGCTAATCCTATTATCGAAACACAACTCATGCCTACAAACGTACATCACAGCACCATATATTTGTATCATTGTTTTCCTCGAGGTGTAAAATCTGGAACTGGCGATTCCTAATTGTCACTCTATCCAGCTTTCTGTCATTGTAAAATTTGCCTGGAATTTCTCTTTTCCAGGTACATTTTTATTGAGTTAACCAGTTTGCGCTGGATGACTTGTATACACGCAAAGGTTTTGCGGTATTTGGAACAGATGACGGATAAACACGCAGGGAGCGAGGCCAGAAATATCTGTCAGCGACCTGCTCGCAGCGAGCGAGGCCGGAAAAGTGTGCTGCCCGCGGGTGATGGCTTCAACCCGCTTGGCATTGAGGTTGAGTGAAACATAATCCCGCGCCTCGTTCCGTTCTTGTCAAAATATTCCCAGCATTAACTGGTTAAAGCAGCCCAGTAGCGCAGAGTGTGACAGGTGCATACGTTTCCGACACACAACAGAAAGTGGCCGTGAAATTTGTTCAAAATGTCTATTTAGCAAGCAAAAACTCTTTCATTTTTCTTCTGTTCAGTAATTTATGACTCCCGTTGCGGCTCAGGCTGGGAATTGGACAAGAAGTCCGGCAAGTGCTACCTCTTTCAGCCGTTTGAGAAAACCAACTGGTTTGGGGCTCGCTACGCGTGTCGCCTGCTGGGCGGTGATCTCATGAGCCTGACGGGGAATGACGACTTGGCCTACGCTACTAGTAAGTTGGGAAATAGCGAGCGCCATCTAAACTCTGCAGAGCATAACACATTTTTGTAGTTGAAATACTAGTGATGGATTACAAGTCATTTGCGAGGGATTCCGTACCAAGTCAATCACAAGCTATTCCAATAAACTGACGAAGGCATTCCTTTGTTATTGTTCATCCGCTGTGATTTGTGACTTTACTTTAGAATTGCTTTGTGATTTACTTGCGACCAGACTTGTGCTGTACTTTTGATCCATTGTAAGTATCTTGACTACAACACTGACATATCATAGAGACTATTTGTGCTTAGCACATAACTTCAGAAATTCAGAATTTCTTCCAGCAACATAAAATATGGGCTAGCATTTCCCAACTTAAAAGATACTGTACATTCCAATCATTACTTACTTAGGCCTACATGGAAAAGAAGCCTTGTGTAGGGGTCCAGGCTACTCTGGAAATCAAGGAAACCTTGAAAATGAGTTTCCATTTTTTCCAGTTGTGGAAAACAAACCAAAAATCAGGGAAAACTCAGGGAATTATGGGTGGAAAACCCGAAAGTCGGGGAAAACTCAGGGAATTTGACAGTGACCAAGAAGGGAAATGTTTTCGCCAGTTGTGTCCACTGACTGACTGGCTATGGTGGCTTTTGAGTGTTTATGCAGTGTGAATATTACACACCTCTCCAGACAGTAACAATTGGCTGTGCTTACACCACCTCTTGACTTTCCAACAAACCCCGTTAAAGTGAAAATACTTCTCATGGAATTTTGGAAATTTCAGGGAATTTTAAAATAAGTGCTAGGAACCCTGCTTGTGTCTAACATTTGACAATTTTATGTTGTAATTCCACAGGTCGGTTGATAACCACCGGCGGGGGAGAATCCTGGATAGGATGCAACGACCTGGGCACCGAGGGCGGATGGGTCTGGAGTGACAAGAAACCCTTCTCATTGCTCAACTGGAACCCAGGTAAAAACAATCATCTGTCTGTCTCTCATCTCAGTCAGAGTTTGCTACTGGGTACGTTGAGCCTGTTTAAGTCCAGGGAATCGACCGATTCTTTGAGCCCCACCCCCAAATCTTTTGGCCAATTACGACTTTTGGCAGCCAGGGGAGGATGGGATTCCAAAAGGTTGCAAAGGTAACGTTTATCGCATTTTAACAGATTTTACGCAAAAGGCAGAATTTTCCAGCCAACTTCTGATGCACAGCCAAACGTCACAAATACTGATTCGCAAGAGTCATTTCAACAGTATAGTACGATATTCCTTGCCGAAACCGTGTATGTTTCAATACTCTGAGGTGTGCACTGGAGCGTAAATTGTAAAACAATAGGCCGCGCACAACAGCCAATTCAAGATCAACTTGCGGTCCGCCTCCACAGACTTCACGGACTTTGTGTGTATGTGTGTACAAAAGACACAAGGGATTAGCGTGTTTCGACGTCACCCAGAGGCGAGTGCAGGCAATCTTGATGTTTTAACCCGTCAGCCGTGCCCGTGTATAAAAACAGCCAGTGCATGTTATCATGTCCTCAGATTCGAACTGGTTAATTAATAACATTTTCAAGAATTCCCATGCCTAAGTATTTCTGGATGATGCAGGATCATAACTAAATTGGATCCATTTGTTTACTCAAAAGAACATTCTTGATCTTCATTTTTATCCTGTCAATGTTTGATCCTACCGTGTTTCAGGTCAACCCGATAACTGGTTTGGTTACAGCCAGATTGGAGAACACTGCTGCAACATATACAACGCCCTCGGAACGTGGAACGACAACTTCTGTGAAAACCAAATGGGCTACAGCTGCAACAAAGACGGTAAGCTGATTTTGTTTGTTTTTGTATTGTTACGACTATTCAAAGAAAATAGAATAATCCACTTTTAATAATGGTAACCTAAGTATTTGCTTTTTTTGAAAGAGTTTTAGTCAAAGTGGAATAAGAGAAAATAAGTTAGTGTGATAGGCATCATGGTTGATCTTGAGCAATTATCAATAATAATGTTTTTGAAAATGGAAAGTTTTGGGGTGTCGGGTGTTAAAGACATTCTTGAAATTAAATTTAATTTCGATTGAAGCATGATTTTCTATCAAAAGAAATGATTTCAAACAATGCAAAATCAGTATCCCATAGTGCTACAAAACTTGGAAGCTGATGTGGGTGCTTAGCGTATGGGCTCCATGCGCAAACAAAAGAGGGCGCTTTTTACCACTTTCGAGAGCCCTGTGGATGGGACACGATGCGTGTGTGTACTGGTTTGCATGTGTATTAGCGTCTTCGCGTGAGCTTCAGGCGTCATCCGCAGTGGGTTTGAATGTCGTTTCCAGAGGTTTCCCTAATTTCCCTTTCATACCATGGGGGGGGGGGGGGGTTACTTGTGCGCTGAGCCCATAGCGACTAAAAATCTGCCAAACTTTCACTTTATCATTGTTCTATCGGGTAATTGTGCATAGAGTCCACAGGACTTGACTTATTAGAGAGGTTTACGTTTAGTGCGACGGATACGTCATCAGTTATGACGTCATACGCCACTCACTATCCGGTATTAAAACTTGTAGACGACACGCATATCTCGCTCGCTACACGTAAGTAAAAAACGGATATGGATAGCTAAACGTAAGTGTAAGCGTATCCGTTCGCTTGCGAAACCTCCCTATTATCACCTGTATTACATTGATATTACATTGTATTACATTGTATTACATTGTATTTATTCATTGATGAATCTGTAAAACCATACAGTGCTCGGGCAGTTTCTGGCGGTGCAGGAAGTAACGAAGCAGGGTGGTTTGGGGCATATTACAGGGATGAATTCACCCTCCTTTTCTCAAGTGACAATCTGTAGAGAGTTACCCTATACGTCAAAATCCTGTCAGTGCCTGTCAGTGATGGATTTAGCTCAGTAACAATGAGGGCACAAAAGGTTCACCCTGGTAGTTGGTGACCAGCCTGTACAAAAGCTATTAAGAGAGGTATGGGTTGTTTTTTTTTTTTTTTTACAGTTAGTGATAGGTATAGGAGGGTTAGGTAATGGGTTAATACAGTTTTCATCTTATCACATCTCAGATATGGTGCTCAAGTATTTCTTAACCTACTCGGAGAAGAAAATCATGGGTTCGCCAGACAGTATGGTGGTTCAGAATGCCTGGCCCAAGGACTGTGCCGAGAAATGTCGTACCTTGCCTACCAACACCTTCTACTGCAAGTCCTTTGACTACGAGAGGGCCACACGGACCTGCTACCTCTACAAGGTGGACCAGGCCACCGCTGGGGGTCTGATTCCGACCTTTGACACGCAGCATTTTGATTACTACGAGCGAGGTAAGGTCATCTTTTCTGCTAGTGGATGGCAATTGCCATTTGGTCCATTAGTTCAAAAGTGTACTGATCTGTGGAGTGGACAAACATGGTTAGCATAGACATTTCACCAATGTGACTGTCACCACATTTGTCCAAAAAGGGTTTTTCGGAAGATTTTTGCACATCTTGTTTATAACTTTGCACTTAAAGGTATAGTCCATCATTTGTAATTTGTGCGTTATGTTTGTTTGAAGCAACAAAAGTGCTCACAATCTAAAGAAGGCTGCTGAACAACTCACCCGATGAACTTTCAGCTCAGTGAATGCTGTATATTCCGAGAAAACAATATACTTGGATCTCGATTTCAAATCAGAAGTTGCTGAATCATGTTTTGAATTGTTTTGAATTCAGCGGCCGAGACACGTTCTCACTGAGTCGATTGCAGCTACACCAATTATGGCAACTGCGCGTGTGTGCGTCGTGTCAACGCTTACACACACTTTGCCGTGTCAACGCTTGCGTGCACTTCGCCGAATAAATAAAACGATTTACTCATAGGCCTTTCCAACGATGCCTCTAGACACACCATTGGAAAGGCCTTCTTTCATTGATTTCTTCAAATTGACAGCTAACCAAGTATGCTTTTCAACAATAATTACGTCAGTTACTTTTTGGATAGCTGCAAATGATGGCCTGAAGCTTGAAATGTATGTTGTGTGTTGTTCACCTTTAATGAAGTGTTTGTCATGACATAATGTCATATTGGTGTGCATTATTCTATATCCTTGAGATTTTTACCTTGTTTCAATTGTATTGAGTAATTTATGAAGAGCCCCTATCATTTTGGATTAAAATGTTTCGAAAAACCTACTGTTAAGAAGCATATAGTGTTAATTATGAAAAATATTCTACGTACACTCATACACACTGCCCCATCCCAGGGAGCTGGTGATTGTTGTATCAAATTAAGGCGCCAAAATTTCAAAGCACAAAAATCCGAAGGTGAAACTTAAAATTTGTCAGATTAAAATTATTCAGGGACCCTAGAATTGTTCAGAAAGGAATTTTTGCATTGGGATTAGAATCGGAATAAAATCCTTATTTCCTGGTGTATCAGATGGCTTAAACTTCTGACGTTAATACACAGCTACTCCGTCAAATGATAAAATAAACTTGTACAGTGGAACGTCGCTATACTGAACACTGCTATACCAAACATTCGGATATACTGAGCATCGTCCTTGGCTCCCGATTTTGTGTACAGAACTTACCGAACATTGTTGTTGAAAACCGTCAACAGAAGAGGGACAAGTGGCTGTTATTTCACCAAGGAATAGAAGGGGAAAGCCACCCATTGCTGTAGGTACAGGAGCTCAAAAACTGTGGAAACATAATTCAATAGTCGGCACGTGTTCAAAAATCGCATTTCAGTAAATGCCAGGGCATGCAGGGTGAAGTTCTGAAGGGCACTATGTATTAAAAAGTGAGTACCTGAGCACCAGCAGCTTAAAATCGCTATACCCAACGATCGCTATCACGAACAATTTCTGTAGATCTCACGATGTTCATTAGAGCAGCGTTCCACTGAGCTTCAAAGTTTCCTAACTTAGTAATTTCCCCATCTTATTTTTTTTGCAGATTTATTTGCCACCCCTCCTCCTCAGCCGACCCCCGTGCCGGCCAACAAGGGATGCCCCACAGGCTGGGGTCAGTACAAAGAATACTGCTACTACGCCAACTTCAACAAGTTGGATTTCGCCGGAGCCCAGGCCGAGTGCCAGAAACTGGGAGCAGAGGTGACCACGATCCATAGCATGAACGTCAACAATTTCCTGCGTGCATTTGTCTATGAACAAAGTAAGTTTTGAAAAGGGTGCTGTGGGTGGGGTGGTGGTGGTGGTGGGGGGGGGGGGGTCGTGGGGGGACAACCAAAAAGGTGTGCGTTCTTTCAGCAAAACGAAAACAATTCACACACGTCCCTATGTGATTTGTTTTCGGTTTGCTGAAAGAACACTGAACTTTTTTTGCGATCCGTGGACAGAACCTTAAAAATGTGGTTGTGTTTAAAATTCCGTAACTTGAAAAGTGCATGAGTGATTTGAATGATTCTTGTACTAAAAGAAAGTTTAAGAATTGGGCTTTCATATCCTAGATTTTGAAAATGCCACATGCTGAACCTCCCTAAAACAATGGTCCCAACATTTGGGTTTCAGGTTTTTTTGACTCGCCCTGTACAGCAGTTACCTCCCTCTTTTGGGAATTAACTTTACGACTACGGGTCTCTGTGAGTCCTGACCAAGAGGCCTCTGAGGACCAGTATTGTGATACCCTGTAACCTTTAAGATAATGAGTTTGTCAGCATGAAATGTGTAGAAAATCTATGGCCACAAAATGCATGTTTAATGTTATGTAACTTGACACCTGATGACATCGTATTGACTTCTAGGACCATCTGTGGGTGGTGGTCTAAGTATGCGCCCAGTCTGAAGTCTATCGGACTTACGAAAAATGCCAAAGTGTATGGTCAGAAGAAATATGTGTACAAAACCTATGGAAAGGAGTGTAAAAAATGAAAACTCCCACCAAAAAATATCTTAATAAACACAAGAGCTGTTTCGGAGCATGTACTCCGATCCAGCTAAACATTGCTTTGCATTTGCAGTTACGTGAAGCTCAAACCAGTCTTTATTCAGATCAACAACATTCCTGTTTTATTGATGGTTATTATTTTGCTTCCCGAAAAGACCCAAATGAGAACCGGTTTTGGATCGGACTGACTGACCAGAAACAAGAGATGCTGTACGAGTGGTACACTGGTGAACCTGTTGTCTTTACCAACTGGAACGCCAGGGAGCCCAATGACGCCAATGGAGAGGACTGCACCGAAATGTATATTGACTCTGTAAGTATTTGATTTCTGGTGATGAAACTTAAAGCTATAGTCCATCATTTGCAGCTATCCGAAAAGTAACTGGCGTGTTTATTGTTGTAAAACATACTTGGTTGAAAGATAGTAATTGGACTAAACTCCCTGTGAAATTATTCTTTCTGGCAAGCTGTCATTTTGAAGTAATCAACGAAAGAAGGCATTTCCAACGGTGCTTCTTAAGACGCACCGTAGGAAATTTAAATTAGTACTTCGTTTTGTTATTCGGCGAAGCACGCGCAAGCATTGGAACGACGCACACGCACGCGCTGTTGCTATAATTCGTCGGATCAGTGCGCGACATCGCGTACAGTAGCTGCAATCGGCTCAGTGAGAACGTGTCTCGGACGCTGAATTCAGGCCCAATTCAAAACATGATTCAGCAACTTTTGATTTGAAATTGAGATCCTAGAATGCTGTTTTTCTCAGAATATACAGCTGAAGCTGAGCTGAAACTTCATCAGGTTAGTTGTTCAGCACCCTTCTTTAGATTTTGAGCACTTTTGTTGCTTCAAACGAACAAAATGCACAAATTACAAATGATGGTCTATATCTTTAAGGATTCCTCAAAAAGGACTGTAGCTTAGAAGTCCTTAAAAAAAACACCTTGAGAGTAATGTATTATTATCATTGCTGGTAATAAAACCAAGGATTCCTCAAAAACGCCCTGGGCACTGTAGCTCGCAAGCCTGAAGAAACCTGTAGAGAGAAGACAGACAGCAGAAATTACAGTTTCAGCAGTGGGAGGAAAACCCCAGGAGAATAGTCTAGGGAAAACCCACGGAATCAGGTAGGGACTGAAAACCCATCCACGTGTGGACCATGCCAGGGCAGGAATCGAACCTGGGCCATAGTGGTGGAAGGCGCGGAAAGAACCACTGCTTTTTGGAGAAAACCCTGGAACGCGGAAGGGACTGAAAGCACCATCCATATGTGGGCCTGGGCAGGATAAAGATTTCTCATCAGATAAACCACGGATCCTCTACACAAGGATAAACGACTTCCAAAAGTTCTGGTTCGAGGCGTGATAACGGCCTGTGCGCATATAGAACATACAATGCGCGTGCGCGAGACTAGAGTCTGCAGTTGAATTTCTGTCAAGTCTCCCGTGATTGGGTTTCGTGTAGGGGGCCCACAGGCCGTTATCATGCCTCTAGACAAACCATTCCGTACACTTTGTATACTAGCTCAGATGAGTCATTTATCCTTGTGTAGAGGAGCCGTGGATAAACATAGCAGATAAATGCACACAATTTGTATTCAAATCTACAATCTTTAATTTGTCATAACAAATGACAGAAATAATATAGAAGTAAAGTTTGCTTGTAAGCTGGACAAATATAAAAAAACCCGGTGTTGTATTTGTTTCAGATTCAGAAGTTTTCTACAATGTCGTTTGTCTCCTGGATGATAGTTCTTGCAAATGATGGATGGTTTCTCCTCATGTAAATGATCAAGTCACGAGAGCACACACACATTTGTGGGGTGCTGTGGTCCAATGGTTACTGTGTTCGACTCGTGTGCCGTGGTACATGAGTTTGAATCCTGGCCATAGGAATGTGGTACTTGTGCTCTTGAGCAAGGCACTTTACATTATTGCTTCGTCCTTCGGATGGAACGTAAAGCCGTAGGTCCCGTGTGTTGTGTAATGCATGTTAAAGAACCCAGTAACACTTATCGCTAAGAGAAGGGGTTTGCCCCGGTGCTTCTGGCAGTGGCTGCAATATGCGCCGCAGCACCTTGTAAACCCTTATAAGGTGCTACATAATGGGTCTCATATTTCTCATATACTTTATTTACCTTTCTTTAATAATAGACATAATTTCCAGCGCCTTGAGTACCTAATTGTTGGTAGATACGTGCGCTATATAAGACTCCGTTATTATTATTATTAAACTTGGAATGCCCAACTGGCTGTTTAAAATAAAAAAATTCAAATTGTTGACAAATCCAGCCATTTTGTCTTCTTGCACAGGGGTTCTGGAATGACGTGCCTTGCCAGGGTTACACCTACAATTCCATTTGTCGGAAAATTGTGTCGACTGGTAACCCGCCTCCGGTCCAGGACACAACATGCCCAACAGGTGGCGTGAGTATCATTTCTGTCCCTATTATTTATTTCTGATAATACAAGCAGAGAATGCCTCAGTGGCGGCCGTGGAAGTGTACCTCACAAACTGGAAGAATGTGTAGAGAGAAGGTGCTAAAGAACTGGTCATATTTACAGATGAGAGGAAAATCTAGACCGGAAACAACCTTACAATTAACCCTAACCGAACACAACCCATCAAAGTTCAACAGCAGGTTTGTGTTTAAATCTGTTGGGATAGGTACAGTTCCCAAACAGATGGTCTTTTACACTGGGGTTGGCATACCTCCAGAAACTAAGTCCAACAGTGTGTGTGTACAATTTCCCATGTGGGTGTTGGAATTTGCCTGAATGGGTATGGTTCCTAGTAAATTAGGCTGGGGAGTTAGGGTTAATTAAGGGTGTTTATTTTACGGTTAGGAAGGGAACCAGGTACCCGATTGAAAAAGACATGGGTATCCGGGTGCCCGTGAAAGGAACCCAACCTGAAATTCAAATCTTATCTCGGAAGTTGCTGTTTAAATTGTTTGTAAAGGTCCGCACGATATACTGCCACATCGGTGCGTCAATACAGCAAGCTACAAGAATGTACAGTGAGCTTTACACCTAAATTTGCAACTTTCACATGCGTCATAAATGTGAAGTACATTTTGTTTTCTCAGCCTGGTTTTCATTTTTGAAATCCTCCACTAATGACATTCGAAACCTTTCTTTTTTATTGTCTGAGAAGTTACAAAGTAATTTGTAAAGTTGGTTACGGGTACCCGATACCGTAATGTAGAACTGGTTCCTGAGATTAACGGTCGGGTACTCGGGTACCCGGTTCCGATGCACAGCCCTACTCACAACTGATTTTCCTTTGATTGTCTGTGTGCGGGCATTAGGCTAGCAAAGCCAGTAAAAAGGCCCAAAATTGGGCATGCTTTGTGGACCATGAACTTGAGGATTTGTAAAAAAAGAAGGTTGGAAGCCGTGAACAGGACTGCATGCTTGTATGTCCGTGAAACTCAGATGAAATTGGGCCCTAAACTTGCTTTATCGTGCAATGGAGTTTAGCAATGGGCTTCAGGACTTCTTGTAGGGATGATCATCTTTCGATGGAATTTTTCCCCCAAAAAGTCATTTGTTAGCCCCCAAAAATTGAACAGAAAATGAAAGATGATGAAAAAACATCAATTTGATGTGTGTCTCAAACATCTGGTAGAGTTGTTGGTATTTTTCCTGAACTTCGGAAGTAGGCGTATTTATCACGAGGGTCTATGGCAGTTTATTTTCTAGTCTGCAGCTATTAGGCACAGGAAGCAATGAAGCGTTTGTCATCTCTCTGTCATAGAGTTGAGGGTATGCTTGTTCATAGAGACCTTAGTCAAATTTCTTTGTTGAACCTCGAAATAAAAAGGCAATATAAACTGAGTGCATAGGCCCACGGAATATATTCATTTGTGTAAATAGCCAAATATTGTTGTATATATTTATATTGACCTTCAATGAATTTGTGTGTGTTTACAGACATGGAATTACCGATTTAAAGACCGATGCTACCAGATCGAACTATTCAAACTGCCCTGGGCAGATGCCGTCAACAGGTGCACAACGACACCTGGAGCTCAGTTGGTTGTCATTGAGGACAGGTGTGTTGAAGTATTGTTCAATGGCCATGTCTGAATCCGGTATTTTGTGGCTACGGCTATGCTTTTTACCCTTGTCTTGCTGTGGTAAATAGCCATAGACCCTGACAAGAATTGCTGTTTTGCGGATACAGGCACACCTTCCTGACTAACTGTTCAACTAAGAAAGATAAATTTTGTGTGATTTCACATTTTTATTTATTGATAGAAAAAGAACATCCATATGCAACCCAGAACATTATGTATCGTCAGACCACCTAAAGCTACGTGGCCCTATTTCTACGCACTCGCCTTCAATTGGTTTCTGACAACGTGCGCGCTTTGCAAGCGTTACCTGCACAGATTATGGAGGGTCGAGGATATATGAGAATAAATTGGTCTGAACACTATTCAGGCCTGACCCAGTTCAGCACAAAGAGATTTGTTTTCAGACAAGCGAACTTTAGGTATTTAAATTTTCTGACTAGATTCTGCAGTTGTTCTGAACAAATGCAACAGTCAAACTTTTGACGTAGTTGACAGTCAAACTTTTGATGTACATGTAGTTGACAGTCAAACTTTTGACATATTTGACAGTCAAACTTTTGACGTAGTTGACAGTAAAACTTTTGACGTAGTTGACAGTCAAACTTTTGACGAAGTTGACAGTCAAACTTTTGACGAAGTTGACAGTCCAATTGTTTCAAAAGTCAAAAAATTTGGTTAGGCACGACTCTGGAACGCCAGTATAAACAGGTTTATATTAACAAAAACAATTGACCTCAGACTTTATAAAGGATAAACGCCTTTTTTTTCCTTCGTGGATTGTCTCTGACAGGATGGAGCTAGCCTACCTGAGCGGTGCACTGGGTAGTCAAGACGCGGTCGACGACTACTTCATTGCTTTTAGCGACAGCAAAGTTCCAGGTTTTTACCAGTGGACGGACGGCACACCGATAATGTACACAAACTGGGGTGATGGCCAACCCGGTAAGTGTGTATCTGAGTTCGATTCATCCATCCCTATAAACTTATCTGACAAACAAAATGATAGAAGCCGTAACGCAGAACCATGCTCATGCACACGTGCTTTTAAAGATGAGGTGTTACAACTGATAATGTCAAACAAATTGACCGATATTGTTTCACTTACACCGATAAATTGTAACAAAAAATGACGGATACTGTAGTAGATGTTACTACACTATCAGTCCATTTTTGTTACGTTATCGGTTAGGACTGATAATGTAACAACAATTGACTGATGGTGTAGTACATTTTTACTACACTATCGGTCAATTTTGTGTTACATTATCAGTTAGTGATACAGTATCGGTCAATTTGTGTGACATTATCGGTTGGTGATACATTATCCGTTGGTTACTACACTATCAGTTGTAACATATGAGGCACACACATAAGATTTTTGTAAACCTATTTGTGGTTTAAAAAGTGTGGATTTTCACTGCATACAGCCAAAATATTATATTGTGTTGCCCTCATCCGACCGACCCAAAAAGTCTGGAAATCTCTGGTCCACCACAACCGTTGTTTTTGGCCCAATGGGCAAGATATCATGAGAAAGTGTGTGTGGAGTGCGGTGGCCTCGTGGTCTGGAGCATTGAGTACATGGTCTACAGGTAATTCGGCAGGTTGTGGGTTCCAGTCCAGCCTGTGGCTATGGTGTGTGTGCCCTTAGGCAAGGCACTTTATCACTCATTGCTTCTCTCCACCCAGGAGTAAATGGGCACCTGTGATGGCAGAGATATTTGTGATTGAGTTTAGCTGTTTTGCACTGACATGGCAGCATCGAGCTGTACACTCCTTAGGGAGCTGACATAGTATTTGGAATGTTTCATTGGCCCAATGAGCAGGGTAAAACTGATGAAGCGCTTTGAAACCTTATAGGTATAAAATGCTATAGAAGCACCACATATTATTTGTCTTGCCTGTCGATATCCTGCCTCTGTGTTGATTTTTTACAGATGATCAACAGGGTCATTGTGTCGCCATGAACAGCGGCAACGACGCCGGCTACTGGGCAGACCGAAATTGCTCCCAGCCATATAACTTCATCTGCGAGATGGCCCGGACTGGTTACCCGACAGTACCGCCCCCAGTGGTGGTAACACCTACGCCGCCGACGGATAAAGATTGCGCAACGGGATGGGTGGGCTGGGGCAGTCGGTGCTTCCTGGTAGGCTATACACAGAGACATTTTGTGGACTCGACCTTTCAAAGAAAAGTTGATGTCGCTGCATGAGCAATGATTACCAGAACCTGGTGTGTGAGATAACCCATGTGTGTGAGATACACACATGTGTGTGTATCCCATTCCATGACATGCAATGAGCACAGCTTATTTATAATAAAAAAGGCACAAATTCCCAGCAAATTTTCCAGACATAACCAGTAGTGTTTAAAATGTCTAACTTTTGACTCTCTTTCTCTGAGGACAGCTGGACAAAGAGAGGACAACAGGTTAATTGTTGTCCTCAGATGGACATATTTTGTCCTTGCATATACATTTGTGTGCTTAGTATAATGAGCCAGTGTTATGATATAGGAACAAAAGGAAACACAATGCCTTGTCCTCGAATGTAAAGCATGACAATTTTTATACAATCTGAGGACAGCAAGACAAAAACAGATCAGCAGATTAATTGTTGTCCTCAGATGTGCATCTTATGTTGAGAATAGTCCTCAAATGTACTTATGTGCTTAGTCTATGGGAGAGTGTTACAATAAGCCCCAAAAGGAATCATAAAGGCCTGTTTGTTTTGCACAGATCTTGAATCAGATCTGGGATCTGTTCATTTGTTTTGCCTGGACCCCGATCTGGGTCATGGATCTCAGGTGTCGATCCTGAGAGGTTGATCACCACAAGATTCAAAATGCCGACTAACGAAATGACTTATATTAATATGAAAATCTCCTTGTTTACTGTTGGCTGGTCATGTGACTCAAGATCCGGATCAGGTGCAGTTTTAATAGACATTCATTCACGAGGGACCCATCACTGAATCTGTAAACTGTTTGGGATGGTGCCAGACTATTTTATGATATGAGTGCATTCCCAGACTAACTTTCAAATTTTTTAGGTTTAAATGTGGCTTAAAACATTTCGTTGCTTTCATTTCTACTCGCACGTTCCAAAAATGAAGAGTTTACCTCACCTTCAATTTAATATGGCCGACTCGGGAATAAAGTCTATTGTTAAGGCATGGTACTCTGGTTCGAAGGATCTGAGTTTGGATCTGTACTGAAACTAATGCTCCCAGTGCCTTGTACTAGTTTGTAGGTATTCTTCACTTTCCTTGCAAAATCCCCCCCCCCCAAGAATTCAGGTATCCGATCTTTTTTTAATCTCACGATGTAGATTTTTGAGCTGGACAGTGACTCTGCTGCAGTCAACTGGGACACAGCTAACAGAGAATGTGAGAACATGGGAGCCACTCTGGCCAGCTTCCATCACCCTGATGAGGAGAAGTACTTGATAAGCAAGTTGTAAGTCAGGGTACCATACCACTCTCTGGTTAAGATGTTGTCAGTTGTGGGAGTGTTTATAAGGGCTTCATTTTTTTGTTTTTGGGAGGCGGAGAGGAAGTTTAGTGCATTTGAATAAGTCTTTGCTGTTAACTACAGTTTAAACTTGATGGGGACCAACTATTTGTTGGGGGCTTTTAGAGGTATGATATAAAATAAAGTCTGTCACGAGCCAATGTGGCCCATCAGGCCAGCATTTACCTCCGGTTTCAGTAGCATGAAACGACTGAGAATATTTCTACTCCTTCAGGATTGGATGCTAGTCCATCGCAGGTTACTCCCCAGCAAATGCCGGTACCTATTTGTACTCCTGGGTGGAGAGAGGCAAGTTGGGGTGAAGTGGCTTGCCCAAGGACACAACATTTGGCCAGCAGCTGGATTCGAATCCCTGACCCTCTGATCATGAGTCACAAACCCTAACCACTAGGCTACACTCCCCACAACAAGTTTTTCCCCCAAATTTTATGTTATGCTGTAGAAACACTTCTTTATGTTTGCATTTACATTTTGTGTTTGGACTTGAAGTGGGATAAATCCAAAAAGGCCTCTTGCAGAGCCATTTTTACTTTTAAAAAGTTAAATCTTTGGACTTTTGTACAGGCATGTCTTACTGTCGACCAGAATTATGTACAAATTGAGAGTGATGGGTAAAAAAAGAGCCGAGCGCACTTGAACAGAAGTTTTGACTTATTTGGAACACCGCCGACGCAGGACTGGATAGCTCAGTTGGTAGAGCACCAGAGCAGTAATCCAGAGGTCCCAAGTTCAAACCCAGCTCTGCTCAATTTCTTTATTCAAACTTATTAATATTGATACTGTGATTTCTATGTTTCATTTATTTAGTTCACCGACAACTAACAGACGTTTTTGGATTGGACTGAACGACCAGCGTTTTGAAGGAGGTAGGGCCTATTTATGTTAGCTCACGATGCATCTTTTGTGGCATAGTGTCTTTTTTGTTCACTCTGTGGGATGCATCGTACATTCTTGAGGGTGTCAAAGCAAACGAGTGTTGTGTGGGTAGTTCAAAAAGATGAGTTGTGCCTTCCTGGCTGCAAGACCTCAAATTTATCACGGCAAAGTAAACATTAACTAGTGAAGGTTTGCGGTAACACCACATGGCTTTCTCTTTTTTATTAACATTTTTGGGACCCTGTGGTATTCGTTGTTACGCGTTCTACCATATCATTATGAGGCTGAAAACCTCAGGAATTTGAAAACCCCTTAAACCTAAAAAACAGCATTTGTTGGAAACAGGTCACATATTTGAAGTCCTTGTCTTTGTCTGTGTGTCCTCCTGTCCATCTTTAGGCTATGCATGGAGTGACGATACCCCAGTGGAGTACACCAACTGGGCTGCTGGGGAGCCCAACGATTATGGTGGCTGGGAAGAGTGCGTGGAGACAGACTTCAAGGGGGGACGATGGAACGACCAAAGCTGCTGGGATCGACGCAACTATATCTGCGCCATACCCAAAGGTGTGATTTTGAAACTCGGCTGTGAACAATTTTGAACGTACCAATAATAATGATAATAATTATTACTTAAATAGCACTTTATACCAAAGGCTTCACATTTATTACCCCTGTTCATTAGGCCATGAGATCAGTGCATTGTGGTCTCTACCTTCACAGGTACCCGTTTATACCCCTGGGTGGAGTGAGACTATTGTAGTAAAGTGTATTGCCCAAGAACACAAGCACCATGCTCCCCATGTTCCTCAAAGTCAGGGTTGGGCTCCATCATACCATTGTACCACAGCCCTCTACAATACCCAAATGATTTCAGTTTGAAAGGTGTCATCTTAATAATTATTACTTTTAATTTTTATTCATAATTTTTTTGGGGGGGGGGATGTATGTCAGGTTTCCCATGTCTTGTAAACTACTTTGGTAGCTGCTAGGAGCGCTGGTCAGCAGCTATAAACCCGAATATGCCATTTAGCCAGGGATCACGCCTAAAGTCACAATGCTATCAAGCAACATCAGCAACGCTGTAAACGTAGCAAACAACAAACGGGGATTGCCATGAGAAGAACAACTTTTTTGACTTCCAATTTTTCAAGTAAACCACAATGGGAAACCGACTAGGTGCATTCGAATAATTATATTTTATAATTATTTAATCAGATCACTACATGCAAAGCTGTTTTAATTGAATCAAAGACGTATTTAAGAATACTTTTTTTGTTTGTTTTATTCTCTTTTTGCAGGGAAGACGGTAATCACAACACCACCACCAACGATTGCTACAGGTGAGCATTTGGTTTGCAGTTGCATCCCAAATTTGTATTAACTCAAAAGCTTCTCTGCCTGTGCAGGTGATACAGTCGTTACTTCTTTTCATATTCAAGTTATTCTGATTTTGTTGTCAAGTAAAGCCAGGCAACCAAGGGAATGCCATTGTCACAGTTCATTGGAGTAGTTTGTGACTTAAGATTGATCGACTTGTGATCAACTTGTGAGGACTTGTGATGACTTGTGAGGACTTGTGATGGACTTGCGAGGACTTTCGAGGACTTGTTGGGACTTGTGAGGACTTGTGAGGTTTGTGGGGACTTGTGAAAACTTGCAAGGACTTGCGAGGACTTGTGAGGACTTGTTAGGACTTGTGAGGACTTGTGGGGACTTGTGGGAACTTGTGAGGACTTGTGAGAAGCTGCAAGGACTTGTGAGAAGCTGCAAGGACTAGCGAAGACTTGTGAGGACTTGTAAGGACTTGTGAGGACTTGTGGGGACTTGTGGGGACTTGTGAGAAGCTGCAAGGACTAGCGAGGACTTGTGAGGACTTGTAAGGACTAGCGAGGACTTGTGAGGACTTGTAAGGACTTGTGAGGACTTGCGAAGACTTGTGAGGACTTGCAAGGACTTGCCAGGACTTGTGAGGACTTTAAAACAACTTCAATTTTTTTTTCTTGCAGGTGACGACTGCGTAGGCTTTGTTGGATGGAAGCACCTGTACCCCAACTGTTACTACTTCAGCACTAAAGGGGACGGCTTGAAAGATTGGTACGAGGCGGAGGAGTTCTGCCATAAACAGAATGCTCATTTGGTCTCCATCCATGACAAAACAGAACGAGATTTTATCAAGAATCGGGTACGTTTATCATTTCCCCCCCCCCCCCCGAATCCCAAGATGACCTTCTTGAACAAATAAGACCAGACATGTATAGTACAGCATGTCCAAATGCTGTTCAGTTGACTCAGAATGGCTGTTCACTGGAAATCTTTTAATGCAACTCAAGTCAGCAACTTGATCCTTTTCAGGATTAAGCTGCCTCTAAGCTACGACCGTCGGGAAAAACTCAGTTGCCGATTTTGTGCAACCCGAGTGTAACTGCGACGATATTAAGACGATCGGCATCAGTTGGCGCTCAAACAAATCACCACTCGCAAGAGTAGAAATATTTCAACTTCTGGGACGTGTTCCGCGGCCATCACACCTGAACATTGTGACCTGAGCATAATTTTTGTGATTGATGCCGACGGTTCTGACTTGGCGCAAGCAAATCGCGGGTCGACCTGAGGCTGGCTTTACAGTCAGGGGGGAACTTGTGCACGGAGCCCATACAGCTTCCTTTTTCAAATCACCATCCCCAGAAAAAAAAAATCTATTTCATTTTTGAAGATATTGCAGTTTATTTTTGTTTTCCTGTTGCATTCCACCGAGAGAATTGTAAGATACTGACATGTATTTTGAATAAATAATTAACATAATAATAATTTGCCACACTATGCTTTTTTTCGCTACAGATGGACGCATTTGTCGGTAATTACTGGTGTGGGCTTCGAGCAAACATCACACATCCTGGCAATCATGAGTAAGCAAACACCCAAAACGTGGAGCAAAATTTCAGCAAAGTGTAACAGCGTGGTGTTAATAACAGTAAAAAAATTAAATTGAAAAAAACTTGGAACATTTTCCTGAAAATGAATAAAACTGTTGCAAACTGCTTGCGAAGTAGATTGACCCTAAATATACAGGGTGAGTGAAAATGAAACCCAAATATTGGGACTATTGTTTTAGTTCTGCATGTAGCACGTTCAAAATCTAGGATATGAAAGCCCAATTAATAAGCTTTCTTTTAGTACAAGAATCAGTCAAATCACTTTTTCAAGTTACGGAATTTTAAACGCAACCACAGTTTTAAAGTTATGTCCACGAATCTCAAAAAAAGGTGTGCGTCTTTTCAGCAAAACGACAAAAATTCACACACATCCCTATGTGATTTGTTTTCATTTTGCTGAAAGAACACTTACCTTTTCGTGATCTGTGGACAAAACTGTAAAACGGCGGTTGTGTTTAATTCAAATTCTGTTTGTTTTTGTTGTGAGTGATTTAGTTTGTGTTTGTTTTGTTTGATTTCAGGTGGTCCGATGGAACCCTCTTGGACATGAAGAACTGGCAGGTGTTTCAGCCAGACACCAAGAACGGAGAGGAACTCTGCGTCCAAATGAGGGCAAATCAATTGAGTAAAAGGACCTTTCACTTCGGTTTCTGTTTTCGTTAAAAAATAAAGACTTTTTTTTTTACTGTATCCATATGTGAGATCACCGGACCCTACAAAAAAGACTCACAAGTGGCCTGGGTTACTTTTGAGTAATTGAATTTCTAACAAAACCTACACAATGAAATCTGTCCACAGAATTGTCAAACTGAGTTTATTCCAAAGTAAACAGAAAATGTTTGCCTGTTCCACTTCACATGATTACCAGTAACTGAATGAAAAAGTTCTTAAAAGATGTACTGTCCATGCTAAATTTAAGTTTAAACCCGAAAAATCGTTACAAAATTATTCACTTTTTGATGAGACATTGAACAAAAAGATTTGCCCACGACCAGGTGGGGAATACTCTACTTTATTAATTTCTGTATTTTTGCAACTTGTTAATAATTCAGTTCTTGCAGGCAGACTGGTTTCCTGTCCCTTTCAGCGTCAGTAATCTAGGACACCTTGAAAATTCATCAGATAAAAAAAAAAAATCCATTTTGTTGGAATGCACTGACAGTCATCTTTAAGACTCACTTGGTGGGATCTGAGTACATTATGGTACATCAGATCGTCATTTGCCCCTTGGATCCTTAATTGCCTTGTCAAAAAATCACTACAGTGTATCCTGAGCATCATGGGGCAAGTTTGCGCAACAACCACTAGTCAATCACTGGTTGGCTGGTGTCAAACAGTGTGCGTGGGCTGGAACATTAAAGTGCAAACGACTCTAGTCGAACCACTGTCAACATTTTGCTGTCAGAGTATGTTTGGATTGTTTACGTTCTTTGACCTGTTGAATGAACCGGAAGATATATCTCCGAGGCTCACCAGCAGGTAGTTCAACTTGCTACATTTATTTGAAATGAAAGGAGAGATTACATGCCCAAAATTCACGGCAAGCGTTACGTTAATATTATAAAGAACCTATCTAGGGTCAAGCCTTAAAATCTCTTGTCAATGGTCAGCTCTGCACTTAAGTAACGAAATGAGGCTATTGATAACCAGCGATGCGACCAGGCCCAGTAGGCTGGTTCCAAATAGTTGACTAGCGTAGTCAACCATTCTCGACTAGACAGAGTTCCGGCTAACTTAGTCGAACTATGATTAACAATAGTTCTTGCGCGAACTTGGCCCATGGACTTATTTTCATTGAAGTACTCCCTTGGATAGCCACACGCCCACCTCTAGGGCGAGGACCATCAGTCGACTAGTTGTTGATTTGTGACATATACTTACACCCGTGCACTAATAGCAATGTGTGAATGCCTCTTGTCAAATGATCAATCAAACCGTAATCAAGACACTTCTTGGCCCTGGTTTCCTGCTGTGCTTTATGATACACGTGGCTATTGGTCACCAGTGATGGAACGTTGCCCCGTGGTCCGGTTAAAAATAGTCGACTAGTGGAGTCCAACCATCCTTCTTTCCAGCAAAGTTAGTCAAACTATGGTTGACGATACTTTGCGCCTGATCTTGCTCAAAGATTGCAGTATCCATGAAACTGTCAGTGAAAGCAGCCAATAGATAATTTAAAAAAAACCATGCATTTCAGTAAGAGACTCATGTTTTTCCCCTGTTTCCTTGTCCAAAGTTCCGTTCCTGACCGGCCAATGGCTGGATGCCAACTGTGGCCTGGATGCCCGCTTCGTCTGCAAGAAGAACGTGGACGGCACCGCGCCCACCCACCAGCCCACCCCTGCACCCACGGGAGGTTGCCCATTGGGTTGGCTCAAGTACAACAACCGATGCTACAAGATGATGGGTGTGGGCGGCCAATCAGACCCCAGGAAGAACTGGCAAGATGCCAAGACGGAGTGTATGAAGACGACGGGGGCAAACCTTGCCTCCATACACAGCATCGAGGTCCAGAGTAAGCAGCTCAAAACCATTTCAGACCGCTGTTCCCGAGTCACATCAAATCACATTATCCTGAAGTTAGAAATTCTGTATACGTCAATCCAATTTTGAAATTAAACTAGCCATGAATGATCTGCCACACCATAATGAGGAATAACCCCCACCTTTGACTTTGCAAGTTACGTACATCATGTTAAAGCGCAAATCACTGGCTTTCCAATGATACCAAATTTATTTCTGTAGCTTAATTTATTCCAAATATATGCTACGTGAACTTCAATAACGTCCCGCCGAATTTCGCCAACCCCATTTTGAGAGAAGTGGAAAACGTTCTTCAGTTTCCAACTTTTGGAAATATTTTTTGCTCAACAAAAATGATACCTTGGCTACTCAAAAATAAGAAAAAAAAAACTATAATGATTGTGGCATATTTTTTTAAGTGTACCCAACTTAAGGCATTGATTACTCAAAACATGGTTTTGGGAGACATTCCTCATTTTGCCACAGTAGGTCACAAAATTTAGTGGGACGCTCCCATGCCTTAGCGCCCATCACACATAGCTTTGGAAACCTCACGAAAGGGGAGTGCGTTATGTGAAACACTAAAGGAAGCCTTGAAGCATTCCAGTAGTGGAGGAAAGTTAACCCAGAAATCACAACACATAGGCCACTTGGATTGGTCTATGTGAAAAGCTAAAAGTTTGAAACAGTCAGGGGCGTCTAGTCGAAATAGTCCAAAGAAATAGTCGAAAGATAAGCTATTGCTGTGTTCCACATTTTGCACTCTGTTTGTGCATTTCCAATGGGAATCAATTGGCAAATGTTGGCAACATTGTTTTTTAAAGTCATCCCAGCAATGCAATAAATGAAAAATGCGGATACGTCATGTTAATTGTAAAAGCGACTGATCTCTTGAACATGTCTTGCTCTTTTCATAACAACTTCATGTCGTAAAATTAACCAAACTTTATCACAGATCAGGTTCCATTTCCCTCATGCGATTGTATTTTTACAATATATTTCACGAGCGCAAGTGGAACACAGAATAATGTAGTGCGTCTGTGTCCCACATACCACGAGGCTGAAGGCGTGATAACGAATTTATCTTCAAGCAAGCTTGACACGCAGTAAAGTTGGACCATCGCTTTCCACGAACCTTTTAGCGGTTTAGCGCATTCAGCTGGAATGTCACTCGCATCTTGGAATAGCGCAATACGCAGGGTGCGATATGGACCGTGAAATACAGCCTCATATTACACTGTTGTTGCCATGGATCGACCAATCAGGATCGAGGATACAAGTTTACTTGAAGATAATGTTCACTATTCATATCCCGATTGATGTATTTGTTCTTCTCCAGCTTATTTGACTGCCGATATGATCGAGTCTACCGACGACGTGTGGATAGGGATGTCTGCTCTGGCTAGCGGCAACAAGTTTGTTTGGACAGACAGCAGCTCAGTGGACTTTGTCAACTGGGCGGCAAACCAGAAGGATCAAACGGACTTTATTCAGGTTAATTCACTAGAAACAGATCGATCCTGTAAGCCCCACCCCCATGATGTTTTGACCAATCACCAACCTTGTTTCCATGGGTACGATCTTGCTGCGCCATGTTGGTTCCCACTTTGCCTTGTGCGAGCTTAACCCCTGGACCAATATCGGGTTTTGCCCTTCACCGACGTGTAAATATTGTATACTCGGTGTGTTACCTTCCGAGTGAAAGTTAGAAAAAAAATCACTCGTGTGGGACTTGAACCCACGACCTCCTGCTTTCTAGCTTGCGGGATCGGTTGGCTGGTTTGAATCTGATGTACATGTAGCAGCAGGTACCGCAATTCAATTACTCATAAGATGGAATTTGCGTCATTGGAATTGTGTAATTTAAATGTGCCACTATTTGGGACATTAAAATTAGGACTGCAGTCGAAGTACTTTACCCGCGATGCAGTGTTTATATGTTGACATTTTTGTGTTTGTAGAATCAGTTCTTTTAAACATGAGATTTCGATGTTGCCTTATTTAGCAAGGATTTACATTACATGTACTTACATCCGTCGTCCCTTTCCGACACAAGATACAGGTTTTTGGGCAAAAAATCAAGGCATCCAGAATCCATATTTTACAGGCATCGCGCAGTTTTGAAAAAAAAATGTTTGTGCGTGACGTGACGTGCAGGAGACGTGACGTGCGCGAGCACATATATAGGGTGTGCAGTCTTCGAAATACGCGCGCAGTACGCTCCGAATAGCTGGTCAGTGTCGTTTATGTATTCCTCTCGGACAGGGGTTAGTGAACTAATGCGCACGCAGCCCATGGAGTCGATGATATGTCTTTGGGAAATGGCTTCAAGGGCATCCATAGATGCACACAATTTTACAAGCCATAGCCGTGTAAATTTGAGGCAGCCTAAGTTGCACTTGAAGCCCATGAATAGCATTCTGGAGGACATAGGTTCGAAACCTGCTTAACAGTCAATGCTATGTGTTCAACCCAAAATAATGATAAATCCTCCTTAATTGTGTTTTTTTTTTGTTTTGTTCAAATTTATTTACAGCTTGGGAATGCTTCCGATTGTATCCGGATGATGTATGAAGACGACGAGCCGGGCAGATGGTTGGATGAGGACTGTGACGCTCTGCATGCCTACCTATGCATGATGAAACCAGGTCAGACTTGTTAAAGCTATAGTCCATCATTTGCAGCTATCTAAAAAGTAACTGGTGTAATTATTGTCGAAAAACATACTTGGTTGAAAGATAGTAAGGGGACTAAACTCCCTGTGAAATTATTCTTTCTGGCAAGCTGTCATTTTGAAGAAATCAACAAAAGAAGGCCATTCCAACGGTGCTTCTTAAGACGCAAAGCATGCGCAAGCATTGGCACGATGCACACGCGCGTGTGATTCGTCGGATAAGTGCCGCATAGCTGCAATCGGCTCAGTGAGAACATGTCTGGAACGCTGAATTCAGGCCCAATTCAAAACATGATTCAGCAACTTTTGATTTGAAATCGAGATCCTAGAATGCTGTTTTTCTCGGAATATACAGCTAAAGCTGAGCTGAAACTTCATCAGGTTAGTTGTTCAGTTCCCTTCTACAGATTTTGAGCACTTTTGTTGCTTTAAACGAACGACATGTACAAATTACAAATGATGGACTATACCTTTAATCATGTCGTCCATTTGTATTTAATTTTGTTTTCCAATTACAAACAAATAGTTCCTCATAAGTTTGTATACACTCCAGATTCCTTTAAGATTCCTTCTGGAAGCTTAAAGGAATCTGGAGTGTATACAAATATTGAGTAGCTCTGAGTGAAATGGGAGGAATATTATTGCAAGGTAAAGTCTGGACTTTTCCATTTCACGAGGCGAAGCTGAGTCCAGATTTTACAGAGCGATAATATTCCTCCCATATTCAAAGCCACTCAATATTTGTTTGGTATAACTGGCATATTGATCCTTGTCATATGATATGTTCTGTTGAACTTTTATTTCAATACTAAATTGGTGGAAAATGTATTTCTCTCTTCCAAACCACCCCTTCACGAAAAGGTTTGAACCCGACTTTATGGGCTCCGTGTGCCGACGAAAGAGGGCGCCCTTTTACCTAGCAACGACGTCCCATGGGCAGGACATTTCGCTGGTTGACGCGCACCATTCCTTGTGTGTGACGCACGTACACCAGGGGATTTGTTCTATTTACACACAGTGGCTGCACTTCGCGACAAACGAATTGCAGTCAGGCAAGATGGTGTCTGTCGGTCACCTCCAACTGTACTTTCTTTGCCGGTGAGGGGGTACTTGTGAACGGAGCGGATAGTGGTGGCTCTTTGGAACAGCACGCGTTAAGCGCAACGCTGAACGCGCACACCAGCACACATTTCAACACAAATACCGTGTCATGGAATAAAAACGATCCTAACTGTTGAATAGTATTTCCCATTCCCCATGGGCAAATGGGACTTTTTTAGCCCCGGCGTGAATGGGAGTAAAAATGAATCAAATGACAAGGATCTGTAGGTCAGTTATATAATAGACAATGGAAAAATGCAGAGCTGCCAGTATGTGTTGTTGCACGAATTTAGCAAAACTTGTAACTAAAGCTCTATCAACTTTTAACCTACAGATGACCAGTATCCCGACAACCCAATTTCAACTGATTGCACTGATTTAAGCGGAAGTGGCTACACACAATACGGCGACGTGTGCTTTAAGGTCTATACTGATTCGACGAGGAATTTTAACGACGCCAAGGCAAAGTGTGAGGCAGACGGAGCCAATCTAGCATCCATCATGAACGGCTATGAGCAGGCCAAGCTACAGTCAATGATGGACGACAAGGGGAAACCTGGCAGCATGTGGATTGGACTTTACGACGATCCGGTAAGTTTCAAGCTGTGAATTTGTCTAATGTTACAAGCGAAAAACATGTACACAAAACATTTACACTCGTGTTTTTGCCCAAACTTGTACAAGACCGAACTCAAACCCAGTATTAAATGTTACATTTCGTGATGCATAATTTCAAAATGCAATGTTAAGTTGCTCACCCATGTTGTTTGAAAAACAAAAACAAAAAACAACTATTGTTCCCCTCCACCCACCCCCATTTGGTTCAGGTTCCACCTTCCCACCCACTCAAAACACAATATTCGGGTTAGGCCAAATAAAAAAAAAACCCATGTTTAGCGTCCCTGCCCGCTTCCTTTTTGGAAGCCGCCTCCTTTAAAAAAAAAACCCCAAAACCAAAAAAAAAACCAAAACGAAAAAATTATACATTTTGAACAGTGACATCATTTGAGTCTTTTGTCTGTTGCATCTAGCCCTTATAAAGCTGTTATGTCATTTCCCGAGTCCAAGTGGCGGCCATGTAAAAAAACAAACTGGCCGCCATCTTGAAAAATAGCCCGGTCGGGCTGCCATTTTGGAGGGGGGGAAAAAAAGGCCTCCTCTTTTTTTCAAAAAGGCAGGATGCTAAATGTGTTTTTTTTTTTACTTGACCTTAAAGAAAAAAATGGATACAGTAGACAGAGTTTGGCTTGGGCTGTACTCCACTCGAAATGCGACGTCACAAAATGACGTCTAGATTGTTTTTTTCCTTGCACGCAGGCCACTGGAGTGTTTGCGTGGATAGACGGCTGGCCGCTTCACTATGACAACTGGGGATGGACTGATCCTAAAGGCCTCCCGTACGTAATCATGAAGGAGGACGGTTGGCTGTATGAGGCTGGCGAATGGGGAAACGTGAACGGGGAGGGTTTCTTCAATAAGTACTACACGGCCTGCAAGTACAATCCAGGTTAGATAGTCATATGTCATGCTATAAACCTTTCTTTCGTTTGTAAACGTTGAGCACCTTTTTTTCATGGGCAGCCAACAGGGCATACATTGAAGCCGTGGTTGGCCAGAAATTTTGCTCAAAAAATTGCATATTACAGGCATGCAACTTTTCCTCGGATCCACTGATTTCCTCGTTTTTGTACTTCTCATGAATGCCATTACAAATTGAAAAACATTGTACAAACTCTAGTTTGTTTTGGAGTTTCCTCGTTTTTTTTCTAAATTGCTATTTGCATGACTGATATTAACACCTTCACTTTGTAAGAAAGATTGAGTATTTGGTAGCGTCGTTGGTTATTTGGTAGTGTTGTTGGTTAATTTTTGTATTCTCAAAAATCCAATGATAACTATTTTTTTCATTTTTGCAATGTTGACCTTCCATATTTTGCAAATCCGTGGTTGGCAAAACGTGCCAACCCCGGGGGGTTGGCAAAGAAAGGTCCATACTGTGGGCGTTATTCACGAATTAGCCATTTTTGTTGAGTTCCCTGAATGTATATCATTAATTGTTAACTGTTGAATGGGATGGCGCCAGACTTTTTATGCAGGTACAATGCAGCCTTATTTTACTGTCATTTTTTTTTAATGTGGCTTTAAACATTATGGAATGTTTAATTACAAATGGTAAATTATTCATTGAAGCAGATTGGAATTTATTATACATCAACTTGCTTCCATTTCTCTTCGCAAGTTCCAAAACTTAAGATGTTACCTAACTTTCAATTCAATATGGCCGACTCGTGAATAAGACCCGTATGGCCGTATCGTTAAGAAGTGTCCGGAGCTATGGCTATGTCTATATTGTTAGCATGTACCCATGTTGTATTTGTCACAGCCTTAGGAAGTAGCCCTAACAGGAGACTTAGATGCACATGTCGTCTACACCTGACACAGTTTCTCAACGTCTTCATATAGCACCCAGCCAGCACAGTCTTGTTTCTGAGGCTTGACTCTTGTTATACAACTTTATACACCAATACATGTTTGTGGGACATGCAAACGTACTTGACGTCAACACTTCACGATAGTGACACGTTGAAAAAGTGTGTTGCGCCCGCTGTGTGTGGATACTGGGAACTGATCAAAGCTTCACCGCCTCACCATGCACACCCAACCTCTCTCCTGATCAGTTCAGTTCTTCAGAGAACCACACAAATTCACAAAGGAGAATTACTTTCACAATGGCGCAAATGCAAACTTTGAATATAGAACATCAATTCTTATGGGATTTGTTTTGATTCCTTTGTTTACAGCCACACCCCCACCCCCTGAGCCCACCGTGGTCGGATACTGTGACAACGGCTGGGGCGCCTTCGGTTCCAGCTGCTACATCGTCGGCTCCGGCATCTTCGCCAAGGGAACCTTCGGCGACGCCATCTATGACTGCGACAAGAATTACGGTGGGGCCCACGTCGTGACTATCGGGAGCAAACTGGAGAACAGCTATGTCAAGAGTCTAGCCCAGAAGGAGTTTGGGGTCGATGAGGTGTTTATTGGAATCGACAGGACCGCCATTGGTGAGATATAATTCCAGCGTGGATAGGTTTGTAGTGTTGTCCATCACAATTTAATCCCAATTTGATTCAGAAGTCCAGTCGCAGGTAAAGAGGATGAACAGTAGCAAAGGAATCCCTTCGTCACAGTTCATTTGAATGGTTGTGACTTGACTTGAGACTAGAGGACTTATGATGGACTAGTTGGGACTTGTGAGGACTTGTGAGGACTTGTGATGGACTTGTGAGGACATGTGAGGACTTGTGATGGACTTGTGAGGACTTGTAAGGACTTGTGAGGACTTGTGATGGACTTGTAAGGACTTGTCATGACTTGTGAGGACTTGTCATGACTTGTGAGGACTTGTGATGGACTAGTGAGGACTTGTGATGGACTTGTGATGACATATGAGGACTAGTGAGGACTTGCGATGGACTCCACTGCAATATTTATTTTTATACATTGTATTTCTTTCTGGTAATGAAACCAGGGATTCATCAAAAGTGCCTTAGGCACTGTAGCTTGCAAGCCTGAAAAAAACCTGTAGAGAGGAGACAATGAGAAGAAATTACAGCTTTAGAGGTGGGAGAAAACCCAAGAAGAATATTCTGGGTAAAACCCACGGAATCAGGTAGGGACTGAAAAACCCAATCCACATGTGGACCAGAGCAGGAATCAAACCCAGGCCATAAAGGTGGAACAACCTGAATCCCTGTACCGTTCATGGGTGAAATTATTATGTAAACCCCAAAAGGGAAGCTAAAATGGTTCACTTTTAACTCTTTGTTTTCCAAAAAATCAAAAGTGAACTAGACTCCTTTTGTGGTTTACATAATATGTACATCTATAGTCCGTATTGCAGTTGAGTCAGGCCTTGTCCATTTCTTTGTACAATCGTATATTAAATGATTAATTGTTTGTCGTCTGTATAATGTGCAGGATTTTTTTCCGATGTTTGAAACAATTTGAAAAATTTTACTGCTGTATATACTTATTCTCGACTGTCATTATCAAAGGTAAATTTTTAATTGGCTTTTTTAATTATGTTTTGCCACAAATTTGGATTTCTGGTGCCATCTTTTGTTAACGTTTATTCAGCGCCAAGTATTGCAATGCTGATAATTCATATCATAACTTTTTCGCATTGTTATTATCAAAACATCGGTGACTCGTTACCCACACCCTATAAAGTGACACCTGTTCTTCCAATCAAACAGGTGGTTGGGAGTGGGTAGATGGCTCCCCTTTGACCTACGTCAACTGGGGCAATGACCCGGACAGTAACACCGGTAAAGACTGTGCCGAGATGAAGTTTGACTCCAACGCCAAGTGGTACCACATCAACTGCAAAAGCAAAAGCCACTACGTCTGCGAGAAAGCAAAGAGTGAGTGTTGGATTCATGCCCTCTTGTCTTTATTCCTATTGTAATCAAAGGTTTATTGAAATGTCCCAGTAAATGTTGCATATTAATTTGTGGTATAGCATATTTCATGGGACTTTACATTAAAAAAAAATGTTGACGCTGCTGAAATAAATATTTTGTGAAAACGATGCCAGCATTTTACGAAAACCACAAACAAGTCGTGTTGGTTTTCGACTAGACTTGCAGAAAGAATCAACTTTGCACCGCTAAAACTCATAAATCCCATATTGCCTGACTTTCGATATAATAGACCACACGCTGGATTTGTGAAGGCAAGAATTTTTGATCAATAAAAATCCTCCCTTTGTAGATTTTTCTCATGTTGAACATGCATACTTGACTCAATCAGCTCTTAAAATAATCTTTAGAAATAATTTGTGATGATTAATAACAGAAATTGGGAAGGAGAAAAAGTATTTTAACAGAGTGCTGTGGCCTCGTGGTCAAGGGCATTGGATTCGTGGTCTGCAGGTAAAGCTGCAGGTTGTGGGTTCGAGTCCAGCCTGGGGTTGTGGTGCGTGTGCCCTTGGGCAAGGCAGTTTGTCACTCATTGCCTCTCCCCACCCAGGAGTAAATGGGTACCTGGGAAGTTACGGGCCATATGCGCTGATATTGAGCTGCTGCAGAAGTGGTCTCATGGCCTGGGCCCAATTTCACGGCGCTGCTTAACAGTTAGCAGAAAAGTTGTGTTAAGCATAGCAGAAAAATTTGCTAACCTTAAGCACTATTTCACGGCGTGTGTGTGTGTTAACGGTCGCGCGTGCATGGAGATTTCTAATGTTACGTCACTAAGTTAAGCAAATTTTTCCTCTGAAGTAAGCGTGCCTTTTGCTGTGCTTATGCTTACGATCTCCATGAAATAGACGGAGGCTCTGTTAGCAGAAAATCGTGTGCTTAGCAGCGCCGTGAAATTGGGCCCTGATGAACAGGGGTAATAATTGTAAAGTGCTTTGACACCTTTGGTATAAGGCACTATATCAGCAACACATTATTATTATTATTAAGTAAGCGCCATTATTTTTCTTGCTAAATATTTTAATGTTTCATCTCTGGTTTCTTTGTAGCTCCAATGATGACGACTCCAACACCACCTGGTAAGAACACTTTTTGCTTTGTTTTCATAACTCCTCATTCGTTTATTTTGTGACCTGCCTGTTACTGCCTATGGACTCCACGCGCCAACAAGAGAGGGCGCTTTTTAATCACACGTGTGGACTGGTTTCGCGCAGAGTATGCACGACTTATCTGCACAAAGCTAATTAAGCCATGGCATGTTTGATGAATGCCAGATGTTGTCAGCGATGCATTTGAATGTATCTTCAAGTGCCCTCCCCCAACTCGCCCTTATCATTCAGGATATACTTGAGCACGAAGCCCATACCGCCCCAGACTGCCCTAGAACTGGTTGCTTTCATGGATTCTTCAGGGAATGTTAATAATACAAATTTAATATAGTTGCTAACCCTCCTGCTATCTGACCAGTCACAGACAGTCAAAAAAGCAATCCTCTTCCCCTGCCATATGCCTTTGTACACAGGCTAGTCACCAACAGTCAGATCATATTTCAAGCAAGCACAGTGACCAGTCAAATTCAGTCAACAGACAAAAGCAGCCAAGTGATAGGCACAGCTGCCTTATCAATCACCTATAGTCAAAGCATAGCTCTATCAAGTTACAATCGGTCACAGCCAGTCAATCCTGCTTTACGTATAGGCTGGGAGATCTTCACTGTTGAAAACAGTCACTTGATTGATTTTGACCGAAAGGACAACTTGGCACAGATTAATGATTAATTAATGTTACAGATTAATAAATGGGTTAATTACTTCAAGAACAATCTTTAGTTGTAATTCAATCCTGCAGTGAAGAACTGTTCAACCGGTACTACTGATTGGAAGGAGTTGGATTCATACTGCTATTACGTCAGCAATACATACGTCAGCTGGCATGATGCGGAGGAATGGTGCAATCAAAATGGCGGCTACCTGGCATCCATACACAGTGCAGTGGAGAATCAGTTCATTTTAGATTTGGTAAGTTTTTTCCCCATTCCGCTCTTCCCCTCCCCTAGCTTGCCCCCCTCCCCCCCCCCCTTTTTTCCATTTCCCTTTTGGAAATATTGTTAAATCTACCGAACTTAGGGGAGAAATAGTCAAGCTGTTTGGGACATTGATGGAGAACCAGAAATTACTTAACCAGTTCACGCCGGGATTATTTTGACGTTTCCAGACCCAGGCGTGGGATTGTTTTCACAATTCTCGAAAACCATCATCTACCCGTCGTCATCGGGTAGCACACCCTGATATATGCAAGTGGGTTGCTGACAGCTATTTCCGGCCTCGTCGTTGCGTGTTTATCCGTCATCTGTTCAGAATACCAGATTATAATTATAATTCCCTTCGATTTCAGTTCCCATACAGCTATCAGACTGCTTGGATTGGCTACAGCAAGATGTTTGATGGAAGTGGCACTGATAAGTACCGGTATGTATTTGTTGAGATATTTGAAGATATGAGTAACTAAAGGGTATGATAATGTGGGAGAGAAGTTTACGACTAGACTTCTAGAAATACTCTACCACACAACTACTCCCATTCATAAATAACTCTCTTTTGTCAATTGTCAAAAAAAAAAAAGAACAGTAAAAAAATTTGCAACATTCACTGATGTTTTGTCCAAGTTCGTGCCACTGCTATATTTAAAGGTAAAGTCCATCATTTGTAATTTGTGCATTTTGTTCGTTTGAAGCAACAAAAGTGTTAAAATCTAAAGAAGGGTACTGAACTTTGTAATTTGTGCATTTTATTCGTTTGAAGCAACAAAAGTGTTAAAAAAGCTAAAGAAGGGTGCTGAACAACTAAGGCCAAAAAACAAAAGTCTCCGGTTTCTGGTATGCGCGCGCGTCGCTGTAGCCCTGCGCGTCGGCAAAATGAAAAAGTTTTTTTTTCAATAAAAGATGATGTCTCAAAACCGCCAAACTCACTGGTTTGACTGGAATTCTGCTGCAGCACAGTTTTAACGTGTTTTTAGATGGGGGTATGATCGAGAATAAGCTTTATGTGGACTCACTGGACTCCCGTACATTTTGCACTAAGTTTAGTCGGGCACCATTTGCAGTCATCAGCCGACATTTGAAGCAAAAAAGTCAGGTAAAAAAAAAAAAAAAGCCGCGTCGCCGCACCACTTTTTGGGCAAGCTCTATACCAGAAACTGGAGACTTTTTTTTTTTGGCCTAACTAACCTAATGAAGTTTCAGCTCAGCTTCAGCTGTATATTTTGAGATAAACAGCATTCTAGGATCTCGATTTCAAATCAAAAGTTGCTGAATCATGTTTTGAATTGGGCCTGAATTCAGCGCCAGAGACACGTTCTCACTGAGCCGATTGTAGTTACGCGATGTCGCGCACCGATCTGACGAATTATAGCAGCTGTGCGCGCAAGTGCGTCGTGCCAACGCTTGCGCGCGCTTTGCCAAATAAAAAAGTGAACTACTAACGGAAATTTCCAACGGTGCTAGAGAGAGAATAATTTCACAGGGAATAATTTCACAGGGAGTTTAGTCCCCTTACTATCTTTCAACCAAGTATGTTTTTTAACAATAATTACGTCAGTACAGTTACTTTTTGGATAGTTGCAAATGATGGACTGTAGCTTTAAGTCTTGCACGCTTGATTTGCCCAAAATCTATTCATCTCAGTGGTTTTTCGAGCATCTAGTTATGGCGTACCGAAGTGTGACGTCATTTAGAACCAGAAAGTGTAGTGCAAACGAATGGAGTACGCGCGCGTGTTGGTTCTCGGGCCGAATCGCGCGCTTATGCCTCTTACACACATTTTGTGCACGTGACGTAGTAGGCACGCGTGGCACGTACTTGCACGCATGTTGGCGCAACTTGCAGCGTCTTGCGACCAATTTTTCAACATCTCTGACTGATGTTTGAAAGTCGGTACAAGACTACCCATGCGACGGCCTCTCGACCAATAGGAATGGGTCAAATGGTGCAGTAAATTTCACATCTGTCTTTTTTATATTTTGATTTCAGTTGGACTGACGGTTCGGATCCCTTGGACTACACGTCAGGATGGGGGGTCGGTGAACCGGATGACCAATTTGGCTCACAGAAGTGTGCAAATATGGAATGGGGTAAGGAGATAGAAGAAACTAAGAAAATCAAACTGGCCCTCAATAATATCTTTTATCGAGTACAGTTGTTATATTTGTTACAGTTGAACACTGTCTTGAGATATGGTTTTTACATGGGAAGCCTTTTTTTTATAATTTGAAATTTAGCATAAATGGTGGTTTTGCATATAGCATGTGTTTTGATGTATGAAGATTCGTATTACTTGTATGATCACGTATTTCGTACTGTGTTTAAATTTAGCGTACATTCAGCTATATAAGCCTTTGGGATGAGTGTAAAAAGGGTAGCAGAAGATATCTGATATTTGGTGTTTGCTGTCAGAAAGCTCGCTCAAGAGGGAATCAAACCCACGACCTCCTACTTCCATGTGCCTCATGACCACTGCGCTTTGCCGATGTCTGCAGGAGGTCTTGGGTTCAAGTCCTGTATCGAGTAGGCTAGTGGAATTTTTTTTTTTATCCGCACACACTCAGACAGCGCTGAGTATGTAGTGCTTGTGAAATTATGTCGTTTAAAGCCAAAAAGCCCAATATTAACCTGAATTAAATGTAATTGCAAGAATGTTGGCAGTTGAAGGGAAATTTGCACCATTTGGCTGAGATTGCTGTCTTAAAGGGAATGTACAACATTTGCTTTTGCTGCAATTTTCAGAAATGAATGGATTTGGAGGATTATTATTATGTTATAGCAAAAATTGTGAAACTGACTTGTTTCACGTTTTGGGCTTGTATATGCCGGAAAAATTAAGAAAACCAATCATGTTCTTGTTATCTGCTTCCCTGACCCCACTTAAGATAAAACAGAAAAATGTAAAGACTCTGGGGAGTTGTAAGGTCAAAGAATCACTCTAGCGGGCTTGTACCCCTTCACAGGTGTGTCATCAATTGCAAAAGAAAATGCGGAATAACTAAATATGAAAAATTAGACGCAGTTTTGAAAAAAGCCAGTTTTCTCCAACGCTGGTCGGCCGACCAGCGTTGGAAAAAATACAGTTTTTCTTGAAAATGTCAGCACACCCGGAGCCATAATTTTACAGGATGCTTTAGACTGTCAATCCCTAACAATTCAGTAAGGTATTTCATGATAATTTGATCATTTCGTTTTTTTGATGTTTGCAAATGTTGTATCTTCCCTTTAATCTGTTTTAATTTGGATAAATGAAGTCCATGTTTTCTTTCAGATGGTACTTGGGAGGACAATAACTGCGGTGCCCAGGAAGGTTTCGCTTGCAAGAGGAAGTCCGACAACACGGCACCGATCACTTTTCCCCCACCTCCACCGCAAGTTGGAAACTGCCCCGCTGGCTGGAACAAGATAGAGACGGGTTGCTACCTGATCAAGGGTGACACAGCAGACTTCAAATCCTGGGAAGATGCGAGGACTGAATGTCAGAAACAAACCAACGGGGATCTGGCGTCCATTCATGACCAAGGAGTCCAGTGTAAGGCATTGTCAGTTTTCACACACAGTTTTGTCATTGAGACCTTTTGTCGTCAAAACCTTGTATGTCGCAGTTGCCACGCGGTGATAAAATTCTCCACATGTTACCAAATATGGTCATAACTTTTTTCAATGGGCCAATAAGGCCAAGATTCCATGTAATCCTCACCCCTGGTATACACCACAAGCTTGTAGACTCCCATTGGCCAGACCCTAACCACTGCAGAGTAAGGAGTGTTGAAAGACAGCAGCCCAAAGAGGCGCCTAATGCCTTTGTGCAGTAACTGGATATCTTAGTGTGCCAACCCCTTTGTGCCACCGATCTCTCTGTGTCAACCCCTTGTGCCGCCCAGAGCTCAGACAGGTCGTAAACAATCCTGGCCCACGTAAAGGCCATGTGGCCTGCCTATATCTTGTGCATGAGGGGGTTATTGACCTAGAAACACGTGTGGTGATAAAATTCTCCATGTGGTTCAACTGCGTAATTTTTTTGGTCTCGCAGCTCCGAGGGACAATTGTGTACATTTGCAGAGACAAAATAATTCCAATAACTAGCGCAGAGAGTTCATAATTTGATGAATAATAATTATAATATAATAATAACTATAACATGTATAAGGTAACTTTTCCAAAGGTTACAAAGCGCACCGAAGACTGCTCAGATAGAATTAATGTTGATGTTTGAGTAAATGTTGATAAGTAAAATATAAATTGTATAGGGCCAAAACCTTACAAGATCTTTTGAAGACCCTTTTTAAGAACTTTCACGGTGAGAACATGTGGAATGGTCTAGTGTTACTATATACCATGCAAAGCAGTCAATATTTCGATATTGTCATTGCTGTTTTCTCTACAGCCCTGCTAGCATCCATGATCAAGTCGCACACTGGTAACATGTGGATAGGTCTAGTGTTACTATACCACTCAAAGCAGTCAATATTTTTATATTGTCATTTCTTTGTTCTTTACAGCTCTGCTAGCATCCATGATCAAGTCGCACACTGGTCACATGTGGATAGGTCTAGTGTTACTATACCACTCCAAGCAGTCAATATTGTTATAATTATTGTAATTTCTTTGTTCTTTACAGCTCTGCTAGCATCCATGATCAAGTCGCACACGGGTAACATGTGGATATCACTGCGTGGTGGTACTAGTGGATGGTGGGGTTATCACTGGGCCGATCAGAGCAACGTGGACTATGAACACTGGGCCTTGAACCAGCCCAGTTATTACTTTGTAAGTCAAGACAGTCTCATCTGTCATGTAATTAGCTGCTGGACAATAAACCAATCCATTAAAGGTAGAGTAGATCATTTGCTTACAAAATTATTGTTGAAAAGCTTACTTGATTTAAAGATAGTAGTTTGGCAATAAACTCAGTGCTAAATTATTCTTTCTGGCAAGCTGTCATTTTGAAGAAAACAATGAACAAAAAAGCCGTTTCCAAAGACGCGTCAAGTGATGCAGTTTTGGAAATTTCCGTTAGCAGTTGGTTTGTAATTGGGCGAGTCCGTGAATGGGTTTGCGCAAGCGTTGACACGACGCGCACACGCGCGCTGTTGCTTTTAGTCGTCTGATCAGTGCGTGACGTGGCGATGCTGATTTCGGGCGCAGATCGAGATCCTAGAATATTGTTGTCTCGGAATAGACAGCATTCACAGAGCTAAAACTTCATCAGGTTAGTTGTTAAGGACCCGTCGTTTTGAGCGCTTCTGTTGCTTCAAACAAAAAACAAAAATGCACATATGACAAAATGATCTACCCTATCTTTAAGCCCCGCCCAGTGGTATTCTGACCAATCACTGCCGTGATAAATGTCCGTTTATGAAACTTGGTGCGGGCATAGACCAACTTAATATGAACATACCCAAGAAATTTCAGGACTATAGTTAAAAGTATTTTCGAATTATTGGTTAATTTATTATTCATATGCACCAATGGTAATTTTGCTTTGTGTACACTACATGGGGAAATTCTGTTTTCACTGTGCGCCGAAAAAAAATTCGCTGCGCGGTAACCAGTGGTCAGATTTTATGCTTTTGGTATCAAAAGATGCGCAAGACTCGAGGCTAAAAAGTCTGGAAAGCTCGGGTCGGGATAAATTTTTTTGCAAGGGTATCGCGGAAAATGTTGAGAGGGAGGGGTAGTACCTAGTCAGTTTCCTTATGTGGTTTCTTTTTTTTGGGGGGGGGGGAAGGCCAAAGTTATGTTAGAAATCAGTCACCAGTTAACCAAAAGTCCGCAATCAACCTTGTTGCTTGATGTTCCTCCTTCAGGATCAAACCCAGTGTGTGGTGATGGTGAATGACCCGGACTATCCAGGGCGTTGGGATGATCAGCCTTGCGCTGACACACATGGCTACCTCTGTTATCAACCACTCGGTAAGTAGAATGCTGCCAGGCATCCCAGGAGCCTGGATAATCGAACTTGAAGACATTTAGCATCGATCCATCTTTATCTTTATAAATGTAAGTCAGACTATTGCACCAGTGAGATATTAAATGAAACATATTAATTCCATCAAATAAAAAGTCGCCAGCAAAGGGGCAAAAGCCCAATATTAAGTGAGTCGGAGCGTAGATAACAAGTTAGTGACTTGCAGCTCAGTTTTCAGCATACCTTTTTTCATAGTTATCACCAAGGTACTTTTGTTGGATCACAAGACCTTTACAGGAAAATCGCACATCCGTAACTGCATTATAAATATTTCTACACACAGATGCGAATCTGCCCACCGTAGCGCCACCGGTCGGCGACTGTAAACTAGACGACTACGAACCGTACTATGACGATTGCTTCAAGGTCAACACCACGTATGTGCCCTTCCAGGACGCCCTGAAGTCCTGCGCCAATGATGGAGCATACCTAGCAACTGTCGTTGATGGTTTTGATGAGGCTTATCTGATCACGATGCTGTATGCAAGGGGCTTGGATGCTGCCTGGATTGGCTTCGCAGCGTCCAATGTAAGCCGGGGGTTGCAAGGGAGGGGGGCGGGGGTGTTTTGGAGCGGGGGGAGGGCTGACATTGTTCCCAGTGGCTTAAATCCATATTAGCAGATGGGGGGATGACCAAAAGTTAAAAATTGCCTGGCTGTGGAAATTTGAAAAGCGGGGACAGGGCCTGGACGCAAATTTTTTTTTTTCCCAAACAAGATCAGACAATATCAATAGAGGGCGCTTTCTCCGTGTTATGCATATTCATGATGTCCAGGGCTTTATAGAATAAGTTATATAACGAGGAATAATGGTGTTTAAATCACTGACGATTGGCAGTTCATTTGTGGACTGGTTGGAAGTAGTCCTGACTTCTAATCAGGTGATCCGAGTTCAAATCTCAAAGAGCGTTTGTCACTTCTTCTCATTTTACCTTTTAAATAAAAGTGAGGAAGGAACACTTCCCACAAGACGTTAAGCCTATCTTGGGTTTGTCTTGTTGAGAACAAGGCATTAGATATGCATGTAATGGACCAATCAGAAGATGGGAAACAGATGTCGTTTGGGAAAAAAAATCGCGGCCTAGACACCACATTGCACTTGGAGGCCCTTTTCGTGATACAGATGGACATCTGATGTGCACTTATGTGCCTTAACCTTACATAAAATACGACGCTTTTAACGTTTTGTACCTTTTCCCTCCATTTTCCAACGATACTTATGAATACATTTTGGCAGTTGCAAAGTTAAAAAAATATCTTTTTGTTTCTCACCACAATTTCACAAAGAAATGAGGGGGAGGGGGCGGAACCAATGGCCCATTCCCGTAGTCAAAATTGAGGGGATATACGACTTGTGATGGACTTGTGATGGACTACAACACCACTCAATACCCTAAGTATTAGCTCCATTTTTTTTAAACTCTATTTTTTTTAATTCCAGAGCACTGGCACATTTGTCTGGGCGGACCAGCGGCCAGATTCCTACATCAACTGGGGCCCATACCAACCCAACGGTCCAGGCAACTGCGCGGTTCTGACCAAGCAGGCTTATTGGGTCAACGTCCCTTGTGACGAGGGGTACCCATTCTTCTGTCGAATCAACGATCAACCTTGTAAGTTTCACTGGTTTTCTTCCGTTTTGTCAAGCAGTGAACGTTACATCTGTTTCAGAGTTGTGCAAAACAAGAGGCGACTCAGATCAACTTAAATAGATTTTATTTTCAGACAGGCAAACTTTTTGTATGACTTCTCCATTGACTAGACTCTGGGATCATTCAAAACGACTGCAGCGGTTCATCTTTCAATGTAGTCACTCCTAACTGTTTAAAACAATGAACTTTCCATGTCCTTAATTCAATTCTTAGAAATAAATTGGTTCGGCATGACTCTCAAATGCCAGTCAGAAAAAGTTGTCCATTTCTTTAATTGCAACTACAAAACAAAATTGACATGGAGTAGAATTCTTATCTACATCTGCAATGCTGGAGCTCTGTAAAATCGCAATATTTTTTGTTGTTGCCCTTTTCAAATTTTTGGAGATGCACTGCTTACAATAAGTCCATAGACAATTGCACTGTTAGACAATACTTTGTTTCAGTTTGACCGATGCTAACTTTTTCTTCTATCACAGTTGTGCCTTGTAGCCAATTTGTGGTCTCACCTTGTAAACTTCTACACAGATCCATTCCTTAGTAATTCCAGAGAAGTGTGCTCATGTCCCGTCACTGATTGGACAAACCTCTAGTTTCTTTGGGAACCATTTTTTTTATTATCCCATTTTTTTTTACCCCAGTCGTACCCCCCACTTGGCCCCCCGCCCTGCCAGGCAGCTGTCCGGACAAATGGGTCCCGTACGGCGACAACTGCTACATGTTTGCGTCAGGCGGTAGTTACGTCACCTGGTACGAGGCCTACGTCAAATGCTCCATGGACTACGGAGGCGCACAACTCCTGGCCATCCATAGCAGGGCCGAGAACACGTTCATCCAGAAGAATATCGATAATATCTATTCGTGGACCGGCGTGTGGCTGGACTTGAGTCGCAACAAAACTGGTAGGCGGACACTTAGCAGTGTAGTGTGAAATTTGGACTCTTATGTAATACAGATTCCTTGGCTGTTCTGCTCATGCCTGAGTGAAGATAATTACAAGATAGTAACAGGGCCCAATTTCATGGCTCTGCAAACTACAGAATTCCGCGCTAACGATCATCATTCTGTGCTAACTGTGCAAGCAGAAAAATTCTGCGCTAACCCTGTAAGCACAGAATCCTTAGTTACGGGATGTACGCATGCCCAGAAGCCAAAATTCCTCGCTTACCTGTGAAATATGCTTGCTGTAAGCATGGAATTTTCTGCTATAGTAAGCAGGGATTTGTCGCTAACAGTAAGCAGGGCCAAGAAATTGGGCCCAGGTCGTGTGAGGGTTAGAGTATATATAAGTAAGTAGGGACCAGATTTCATAGGAGTCCAAATTTTGATGAAGTACCCCTAGTCTGGTCAATTTTGATCTTAAGTTTAAGCCCCAGTATCGTTTTTTATTACATTTTTATTTAAATTGAAGGTAGTGAGTATTATCAAAAAGATTTGAGACTGAGATAGCTGTATTTTCAATTGTACAAGTTCTGATTTACAGCAGGAATTGAAAGATACATATAGACTCAATCAAAACTGATGGGCTTTCCCTGACTAGATTGCTAATATTCTAGCAGTTTTGGCAGAAAATTCCGCACTAGCTGGCTGTGGGTTGTCAGCAGATTAGCGCAGACTTTCCGCTTAGGCGCATGCATTTGGAATTTAGGATTGTGTTCTAATTGCAGGGTAAACGCAGAATTTCTAGACTAGTGCTGTAAGCACAGAATGCCATGGTTAGCAAAGCAATGAGATTATACCAAGTTTTTCTTTGGTAGAAACTAAATCATTGACCTGCAGTTACTGGGATATAAACCATGCTCATCACGTGCAGGTGGTACACACGCACTCAATGCTGTGATCTAAAGTGTTACCAAAATGTGCTCTATTTGACCAGCACCCGATTTCATCAAACTCTTTGTAACTTACGATGCATCGCAGCGCTGCGACGCGTCGTATCTCTACAATGCGTCGCAGCTGCGACGCGTCCTGCGATCCATTTCACTAAACACGTCGTAAGTGCGACGCGTCGTAGGTGTATTTATAGCACAACTCGGGGACTGTTTTATGTCTTTAGTCAGCGTACAGTAAATAGTCGTCTGATACTCAACAAAGAGTCGTCGGATCTCAGCTCGAAATTTGTTAAAACGTAAAACAAAATGACGGCCGTGTGATGCAATTTTGAAGGAAAACAAGCTCTCATTGGACTGTATAGCTACTTTGAAATTTCAACTCTAATATTCCGGTCTAATTCATAATTATTCAATGAATTTTCTATTTACAACTTTACACACATTGCCTCGGTATTATAATCTCGTTAATGTAATGTTTGTGGCATAAAACTGGCTTAGAAATGACTCTTCTTATTTTGCGATGACCACTAGACACGTCGTAACTTGCGACGTGTTTTAGGCCCTTGTCAAGGAACTTACGACGCGTTCAACACATCGCAACTTTAGTGAAATGGAAGATACGACGCGTCGCGAGTTGCGACGTGTTACACGTCGTAACTTGAGTTGCGACGCGTCGCAGCTCTTCGTGAAATCGGGTGCAGGCGCATGAGCCTGGTTCCACCTGACTATTATATGGTAGGATGTCATGGTCTGTAGAATGCCATGGTCCAGTGGTTGTGGTGTTTGATGCAAGTACGATGGTATGTAGGTTCGAGCTCTGCCAGGAGCATGGTGTTTGTGCCCTTGGGCAAGACACTTTACCACAATTGCCTCTCTCCACCCAGGAGTGTAAATGGGCACCTGTGATGAGGGTAGATGACTGAATGTGCGCTGATATCGGCTGCCGTGTGGTCTCGTGGCCCGATGAACCATGGAATAATTGTAAAGCGCTTTGAGATTGTTGATGCGATGGAAAGCACTATTTAAGCATAACAATTTATTTTTATTTATTTTATTCATTTTTATTTATTATAGATTGTTAGTTTTGTTGGATTAGTATATGGGCTCTGTGCACGAACCATAGAGCTCTGACCAATAAGCTCCGACCATTTGAGAGCCCTGCGCGTACGGCCGAAGTACGTACAGCAAATTTTGTTCTGAATGTGAACAAACCCCTAGTGTCTTCGCATGAGCCTCAGGCTTGACGGGCAATGTGTTCCAACGTCTCTGCCAGTTTTCTCCCCCGACTCCCCCTTTGCAACCGTTGAGGGAATACTTGTCCACCGAGTCCATAAAGCCAGCCCACACTTTTCCATAACAGTTCTTCTACTATTGGCATCAAAACAACAGGACCAATCCTATACCTCCCGGTCATTTCCTTTTTTAGTAAGCAACCAGTATGAGTTTTTTTGGAACGACGGACACCCGTTGGATTACGACAATTGGAGACACGACGAACCCAGCCAGGAGGGATACTACAGTAAAGACTGCGCCATCATGATGCCCGGTGCCTATGGAAAGTGGGAGACGGACAGCTGCACATTCGGCAATGGCTTCGCGTGCCAGAAACCCAAAGGTAGCTAAGAACCTGTCCGAATTGTAGTCAAGTTAGGACTTCAGCCATCCAAGTGGAAGGCATTCCTTAGACACTTTTGGAATTCAGACAAAAAGTGTTATGTGTCCGTATACATACGACAATGGCTGATATGTGCAAGCATACATGTATTAAAGTTTTCGAGTTTGAAAGTACAGTTTCAAAATTCTCTTATTTTAACCAGAATTAATTTCCTTAGCTGAAATTCGGACTTAATATCCCTTTTCTAAAACTCCACCATTTGCGACAGATCAACATACCTTGGAAATGCCTAGTTTTCGAGTAAAATCCATATATCTATTTCTAGAAAACCTTGTGGAGACGTATTCATCTAAAGAAATTGCCCTGTGGAGATGTATACAATCTTTTGTTCCCTATTGTGTGCATGTCTCCAGAGGGCACGGTGTATCAGATCACGAGAACAAAGAAATGTCTCCACAAGGATACAAATTTCCGTATGTGAGAGGTCGTGTTCAAATATCAGTTTCGGCATCACGCCTCTGCATGTACCTATTTCTGCCCAGGAAACCAAGTCAAAATTTTGTCTTAAAGATGCTAAAACTTTACCAAACGAAGTGAAAAATTCACTATAAAGAGGTTCCAATAAGCCTCTGTAACGATGACGTCACACTTTGATTCACCAGGCATACAACTTTACTTTGGTTTTGACTTCTCATGAATGCGATTACAAATTGAAAAATACTGTACAAAGTCTTGTGTGGTTTGGAGTTGTCTTGTTCTAAATTCCCAGGTGCATGCCTGTTTTATGTGTATGATTTTCTATGTTGCTATGAAACCGTCGTCCCCACCAGACTCCCATAAGAAAGCACACATATAAACAAAGTGTGACGTCATCAGTACAGAGTTTTACTGCAATCCGCCACGTCTGGTTCTTAAAATAATAATAAGATTTTGATATAATTATTAAATTGAAAGAAATTTTGATGAATGGGAGGTTTGCGGTAACACCACATGATTGAAAGATATCTTTTATTGAGTCGTGTGGTTCTGAGAAGAACCAGTTGGTTGAACTCGACGTTTCGAACAGTGTGCTCTGCTCGTCATCAGGAGACGAAAAGAAATTTTGATCGAGAAAGACGGAAATTCATACTCACTGACCCCATGGCACTTTCTTGCATTACGTATGAGAAGAACGCACAAAGTGATGACGTCACATGTAAAATCGATAGTGGTACGTGATACGGGCAGGATTTTCAGACTCTCTATTATTCAGTCCCTTGTGACCTTGTGACTTGTGATTTAACTTGTGATTAAAGCGTGAAGGACTTGTCATTCTAAGATGCATTTCATTGGCACAACTAAAGATGTAAAAGTGCACAGTTTTGTCTAACGGTGATTCTTCGCTTGATCGTGTTTGTACAACAGATCAACATCTCTTCAGACTCTGTAATATAAATTTGTCTCAGTTTTCCATTCGGGTTTTTGTTATGAACTGGCCTTATCCTTCTAGTTAATGCAGTTGATATTAACATTTATTTTTGGTCTCATTTTCTTTTCTCATTACTTTCCAGTTCCGGTTGCCGGTAAGTAGCTTTGTTATGACTACATTTAACTTCATCATTATTTGTAATTTTCTAGTCTTATCAAAAAACTCGACCCCCCTAAAAAAAACACCCACAAAAATATCTGAAATATTAAAAAAAATCCATGGAAACCAATTTATTAATTTCTGAGGGAACAAAATGCTTCTCTTTGAATAATTGCTGTAGAAATGTTGGAATAAGCCAGACTTGTATTCAAGTTACCAAACATCGAGTCTGAGTTCGAGTCGCCTCTCCCGAGTCCGAGTCCGAGTCCTGAGTTATGAAGTTTGAGTCCGAGTCCAAGTCTGAATCCGCAGGGTAGAGTCTGAGTCCAAGTCCTAGTCATTTGTCATTGTGACTTGAAACCGAGTCCGAGTCACGGAATATGGGACTCGAGTTGGACCCGAGTCCGAGTAACCAGTCATACAAGTCTGGAATAAGCTGTTAGTAAACATGCATGATTATCCCTTTCCTTCCCATGGACTTTTGTCGACAAGGAAGTGACCCCTGCTGGTTCCCATGGGCGACTTTAGTCGACCAGGAAACCACACACAAAACACCCTCAACACAGATATATTTACTACTTTTCAGAAAGGCAGCATGTTGATATGTTTGGCCGCCCATACATCAACCATATACCAGCTGAAAGAGTGTTTTCGGATCGTTCTAATGGTGTAGTTTATTTATAGTGTTACCATTACAAAAATTTCAGAAAAGTGCTTCAGAAGTATCCACGCACAATTTGAGGTATGGAGTGCCATTTGTTCAAGTGGTGGAATGGCTTGCAGTTTGATACATGATGACCAGATGAACAAACAAGCATAACTTTCTTATATTTGCACATATGGACTTCATTTTTGGCGAGCTGCGAAGCAGATGCGAGCCTATGTAATACCAATTTCCGTCCGTCTGTCCGGGCGCCCGTCCGTCTGGCTGGAACGTCCGTCCGTCCGGCCGTCCGTCCGTCCGTCCGCGTTCAGATAAAAATGTTGAAGTTTTTGGTTCTAGTTAACTTGGGGAAAAAAAATTAAATGCAGTTGTCATGTATCATCTCTATAATTTCAGTTAGGTTCATATCATTGCAGTAAATTTTATGATTTTATTGAGGAACTTTGTTAAAGTTTTTAATTGTTACATGTACATGTATACTGGTATAACATGTACATGTATGTACATGTACACTATACATTTTGGGGATGTGCATGAGCTTCTGGTTTGATCTTTTAGTTTATGGGGTTGGAGTAGGGATGGGGTAGGGGAGGGTGGGGTGGGGTGGGTTGGGGGATAGGGTTATAGTTAGGGTTTGTGTGAGTAGGATGAGTAGGGGAGCTAGGATGGGTGGGGCAGGGTGGGTTGGGGTGGGGTGGGGTGGGGAGAGGGATTGGAATACTGGGTTTGGGTGGGGTGGGGATTTGTAGGGGTGGGGTGGGAACAGGTAGGGAAAGACAGGTAGGGGGAGACAGGTAGGGAGAGGATGGGTATGGATGTAGGGGTTGAGTTAGGAGGGGGTTGGGCTGGGGGCGGGATATAGGATCGGAGTAGGGGTTGGGTTGGGGATGTGTAGGGATGGATAGGGATGGGTTGTTGTAGGGGTTGGATAAGGGGAGGGGGAAGTATCTAGGGATCAGAGGGGTTGCATGGGGTCAGGTGGGGATGTATGGGTGGGGGAATGGGGTGGGCGGGATATTGGAATTCGAGTAAGGGTTAGGGTGGGTAAGGACAGATAGGGGAAGATAGGGTAGCTGGGTGTAGGGGGTTGGGGTAGGGGAGGGCCGGTACGGGTCAGGGGAGGGGAAAGGAGATAGGGATTGGAGTTTGGGTGGGGTTGGGATGTGTAGGTGATAGGGTGGGGATGGTTAGGGGAGGATGGAATGGGTGTGGGTAGGGGGTTGGGTGGGGGAGGGGCGGGTTGGGGATGGGGTAAGGTTTTGGGATGGGGTAAGGTTTGGGGGAGGTGGTGATGGTGCTGTGCCTACATGTACATGTATATCCATTCTTGTTCTGCATTTGTGGCGACTACACAAGAGTTTTCCCATGGTAATACAAGTATGGGGAGCAGAAGACACTGTTGGCGCTGCACAAATCCACAACTGGGTCCTAATTACCCTAACAATGGAAAACTCCCCCATAATACAGTGACAGCTAACCTATATACACATGTATTTATTAGGTAATCTGTTAACTTTTTATGTTGACATTTAAAAACTGACCCCTACACCTAGGCGCATCAACAAGAATCCTGATCCCCTTCCATCATGCCCATCCCCAAACCTACCTCCAGCCTCCCTTCCTGCCTTGGACAGCGAGCCATGGCGGCTTCGCCGTTCTAATTACATATCACATAAAAGAGTAAGGTTCAAGAAACGAACTTTACACACAACACCTATGATTTTAATCACTCCTTGACAGTGAAAATCTTGGTTGAAAAAAGTGAGTTTCCAACTTGTGGTCATTTTTTTCACACTCTAGTGATTTCCGCATGACTGAGCAAACAATTTGGTCCTGGGGAGAGCCAAGTCAATAAACAATGTGGTAATGAAAGGGTTATACCTAAACAAGACAAACATTATTCACAGTAACTCCCTGAAGTTATGTGAGGAGTCAAAGAATTTTGTTTTTCTTTTCTCGGCTCCAGAGGGTGGCTGTGAGAAGGGCTGGTTCAGGATGAACAACTGGTGCTACGGAGCGTTTGGGATGTTTGAGCCCGATGCCAAGACATGGCCCGCTGCCGAGAAAGACTGCAATAGTAAAGGTGGAAACTTGGCCACCGTCTACGGACAGAGCGTCCAGTGTGAGTATAAAAAAGAACCATTTTACAGAATTTATCACTTTTTCTGTCAATAGTGAAATGCAGCTGAGCTTAAAGGAACTTTTTCATAGATGTTGTTTCAGCATTAGGCAAAGTGTAGAATTTTTCAGGGATATTGCTCAAACTCTTTACTATTACTCATAGTTTTGTCGAAACATGTATCGGGTTTAATTTCCCCATAGGCATCTACATGTATCTCTTGAACTCCAAAGACATTTTAAAATTAGAAAGGATTTATCCTTTGTTCATCTCAGATCCTCAAGTCAAAAATGATCTGTTCTCTTGATGTTAAAAAAAAAATCGCTCAAAATTACCAATTAGAAACGACCAAAGATAGTTCTTGCACCCATTCAACAACCTCTTGGATATACTAATTTATTACTTTGTCAGGTTGACGCAGTGGTTACTGTCCCTGCCTTCCATAACTATGGCCCTGGGTTCAATTCCTGCCTGGACCACATTTGGACTGGGTTTTCAGTCCCTGCCTGATTCCGGTGGTTTCCCCCCAGAATATATCTTCTGGGGTTTTCCTCCCACCTCTAAAGCTGTAATTTCTTCTCACTGTCTTCTCTCTACAGGTTTCTTCAGGCTTGCGAGCTACAGTTCCTAGGGCGCTTTTAAGCAATCCTTGGTTTCATTACCAGAAAGAGATAAACTAAATTAACAAAAAACGCGAGCTAACTCATCTCAGTAATGCGGCTTTTCTTGTCTATCCTTTTCTTTTCAGCTTTACTGGAAGGGATGATGTCCGAGGAGAAACAGTCCTTTGCTTGGATCGGCCTGAGCAAGAGACTGACCGGGTTCTTTGAGTGGGCGGATGGAACGCCCTTCCATTTCAAGAACTGGGCTGCGGATAACCCCGATCAAATGGTAAGCATTATCTCAGCTGGATGTACATTTGATTCTCGAAATGTCCCAGTCTGAGTCCGATTCACTAAGTGTCGAATGAGTCCAAGCAACTAAGTATATCTGTATCATTATAGTCGGTAAAGCATCCCAGGGAAAATATCACACCAACTTAGAGAGAAGACATTGAGAAGAAATGACAGTTTTAGAGGTGGGAGGAAAAGCCCAGAAGATATTCTGGGGAAAACCCACGGAATCAGGTAGGGACTGAAAACCCAATCCACGTATTGACCCGGGTGGGATTCAAACCCGGGTCACAGCAGTGGAAAACGAGGAAAGTGCTGCTACGCCAACCCGACTCCCCTATTTGTGCACGCAGAAAGTTTCCATTTATCAAAGAAAACCTTAAAATTAACAAATTTCTAAGGCAACCATTAAAAGAAGGTGTGGTTATGTAGCATTACAAGTGAGAAAAATGATTTTGGGAAAAGCAAGTTTCTGGTAGGGGTTTTCAGAGTTGGGGGTCGGAACCTATGCTTTCATTTTGAATCCCCAAGGATTGAGTATGAATCGTTGATATTGTTCTCTCTCATCAGAACGATGACTACAAGTGCGTCCGGCTGAACCAGGACACGACCTACCCAGGTCTGTGGAGCAACATCCCCTGTGGGTCTGAGGACGGGTCAGGCAAGGGATCCAAAGGGGGTTACATCTGCCAAAAACCGGCAGGTAAGTCCTCGCAAAAAATTCAGTTTTGTCAACTCAGTGTCATTACATTTTTTTCTAGAAGATTCCTTCTATCCTGGAGAATCCTCCCTCCAAGCAGTATTCTTTTTTTTTTTTTTAAGATTATCACACACTGATCATCAACTGAAAAAAAACATGTTAGAAATGAATTCACCAATGAATTCCAAAAATCCTAACTATAGACCATTTTAAGCCAGCCCTACCCAGGCTAACTATTTTATTACTTAGACCGTGTCATTGCAATGGTCTAACTTATAGACCGACTGACAGCCAAAGCTTTTAGACTGTCTCAAGCACATAGACAGCTTTAAGACCGGTTATTGCAATCTGCCCCTGAAGCAGTTTCCACAGGTATATCAGACTCAAATTGACCAGCTGACCCTCAGTGGTCGAGCGGTAAGACCCCAGTAAGCAGAACGTGGTTATTCACGCGGAAGCCGTTTTCGGTTGTGTTCCTTGAATCTATGTTACGAATTGTAAACTGTTGAATGGGATGGTGCCCGACTATTTTATGATTGGAGTGCGTTCAAATCCTCACTTTCAATTTTTTGGGGGCATGTTTAATCACAAATTGAAGACTGCTGTTTATATGTAATGAACCTGTATTTCCTTGATTTCATTTCTGATCGCAAGTTCAAAACAATAAAGACTTTACCTTACTTTCAATTTAATATGGCCGACTTGTGGAGTGAAGAGAGTCTATTCCATTGACTAGTCAACAAAAATTAACACATTAAGTTAAAGAGAAAATATAACATTTGCAAACATCAAAAAAATAAAACTACCAAATTATTATGAAATACCTTGCCGGATTGTTAGTGAATGACAGTCTTAAGCATCCTGTAAAATCATGGCACCTGGTTTACTGTCTTTTTTAAGAAAAGTGGTGTTTTTGTATCAATTCCAACGCTGGTCGGCCGACCACCGTTGGGAAAAAAAACTGGCTTTTTCAAATACTGCCCCCAGTTGACCATATTCAGTTAGTACGCATTTGTTTGCAATCGATTACACACCTATAAACGGGTACAAGCCAGCTAGACTCGTTCCCTAACCTTACAATTCCCCAATGTCTATAAATTGCTCCGTTTCATCATAAATGGAGTCAGGGAAACAGACTACAGGAAAATTATTGTTTTTCCTGGTCTTCAAGCATCTACAAACCCAAAACGTCAAAAAAATCAGTGCAACAATATTTGCTATATTACCAACCCCCCCCCCCAAAAAAAAACCCATCCATTTCTGAAAATTATAGCAAAAGCAAATGATGTATATTCCCTTTAATTAAACCTGTTTGAAACCAACAATGATCAGGGTCAACCCGGGTCACTCCTACTACTGTTTGGCTCTGAGGAACTCTGAATTGCCAGTCTGATCCGGTATCCTACCCATCATCATTCCACCTCTCCCTAGATCCCAACCTGCCCAACAACCCCACCGGCGAGACCTGTACCCAGGCTGGCTACTTCAAGTTTGATGAGATCTGCTACAAAGCCTACGGTGGGTCGGACCAGCTGAAGGCATTCCAAGATGCGCAGGATCAGTGCGTGGCGGACGGAGGAACGCTGCCTAGCGTGCCCAACGGCTACGCGGAGGGTTTCATTGAGACGCTGCTGTTTTACTACGAGATCAAAGACGCGTGGATTGGCCTCAGGAGAGGAGTAAGCTTAACATATTTTGAATAAAGGTCATTCTATAAATTTGGGGTCCATTGTGTGGCATTTGTCCTGTCCCTGTTAAATTACATTGTAATTTGCCATTCCAAGTTTCATTAAGAAATGACTTTTACCCCTATCTGGCCTTTAAGCCAGAAGGGGGAATATTGTGATAGCGTATTCCATCTGTGTGTCTGTATACGTTTGTTTCTGGTGTAAATCGAGGACATACACGTGCAACATCATCGATGAATTGAGGAAAGAACCCCAAGTTTATAGAATTGTTAGAGTCTTTCAAGTATTCCTCCTTTACCTACATTTTACCTATTTTTGTTACCTGACTCCTACTTTTCCTACTTTTTTTGCTTGAGATTCCTACTTTTTCCTAAATTTTGTCCCACAACTTCGAAAAGTACAATCTCATTGAATATATTCATGACAGCGTTACACGCTGTCATGAAAATCACACAATGAAGGGCTTGGGCACAGGAGTACCGCAACTGTACTTCCAAGAGCTTAGTTGAGGAGCACGAGTATTGTGAGTACAGAACATGCCAAATGAGACGTAGGATACTGTGGATATCATGGATGAGTATCAACGAAGACAACTTTTGAAAGCAAGCGAACCCCTACATTTATCCTGAGTTTGTCTTCCAATGTCCTACTTTTGTCCTGTTGTGATCCTACTGTTCCCTTGCTCTTTCACCTGGGTTTGTTTGGAAGTCTGGTATATGTACCGTAATTTCCTGCGGATAAGGCGCGCGGCGGATAAGGCGAAGGTCCCTAAAATCACCCCCAAAAAATTCAAACGCCAACAGATAAGGCGCACCACCGCATAAGACGCATGTTTGACCGCACACAGAAGAACACCAGGCGTCACCCGGTGTCGGTACATCGCCACAAAGGGGCCATTGTGTTGCCTTAGAACGATCACACTATTCGGAGGATGAATTAAACCGTAACCAAATTGGCTGGTCACATGTAGAATGAGAATAGTGCAATGAGAATAGTGCCGATAACGCGGTGCGTCTGGAGGTGACAAATCTGTAGTATTGATTATAGAAAATTGGAAAATGATGTCATAGTACATCATGTGACCATTTTAACCAATGAGAAGCTTCAGAACCAGGGAATCCCTTATCGATGCATTGGTTTCTGCCGTGATGTCACACAATGAGCGAGTGGCGATGTTCGATTTCACCAGTTAATTTATGCACGTACGGATCCTCTACTTACAGATCCGTGATTTATGTCGGTGAATTCGCGTAATTTTTGTCGGTGAATTCATAGCGCTGTTAAAAACTGACCCATCCTGGCCTAGCATGCAACACTACTGCCACTGGCACTCCACAGAGCGCGCGTAATTCCGAACTCAGTGACCTTTCGGACACAACATTTCCGTTCGAAGAGGTGGATCAAGCATAAGTGGGAAAGCGACTTGCTGTTTCGTTGCAGTAAGATAATGATCACACCAAAATGCCGGATCTTGATCCACCTTTTCCAAATTCAAGTGGGAACGCGGTGTAAGGGGATTAACGCATTGCGGCATTGTTGGAATGAAAGCACGATCATGGGGGATCAACACATCGCGGCATTGTTGGAATGAAAATACGGTCACAATGTCTGGAGAGTTGAGCCTTGGTTGACCGCATTATTGATTGCGGCATTGAAAGAATTCTTCACACAAAGACCGTCACTTTGAACTCAAGTGACACCAGATAAGGCGCACCTGTAGATAAGGCGCAGCGATGTTTTTGTGGTCTAGAAAGTCAGATAAGACGCGTCTTATCCGCAGGAAATTACGGTACCATTTTCCTTTGAGTGAATTACCCCAGTGAGTGTTTTTTTCCCCCATTTATTGCAGGCTGATGGTCAATTTGCTTGGATTAACGACGACACCCACGCCTACCGCAATTGGAAGACGGAACCAGACCAGGGGACCAACAATAACTGTGTTAGGATCAAGGATCGCCAAGTGTGGGACGTGGTGCCTTGCGATACCAAGCACAACTTCATATGTCAGATCGGTAAGTTACAAAAGTGATCATTAAAAAGAGCAACTGTATCTGATAATCTTTTTTTTTAACCCTTCGAGCAGTGGTGCAGTGAAAAAAATCTCATTGTTTTCCAAATATGGTCAATTTTTTTTTTTCAATGGGCCAATAAGGCCAAGCTTCCATGTAGTCCTCACCCCTACTATACACCACAAGCCTGTAGACTCCCATTGGCCAGGACCTAGCCACTCCGGAGTAAGGAGTGTTGAAAGACAGAAGCCAAGATGGCGGCTAATGCCTTTGTGCAGTAATTGGAGATCTTAGTGGCCAACATCTAAGTGCCGCCGATCCCTTTGTGTCAACTTCTCGTCCCGCCCAGAGCCCAGACAGGTTGTAAACAATCCCTGGCCATGTGAATGACCTATATCTTGTGCATGTACAGGCATGCCAGGGTTATCGACCTAGAAACTCGTAATGTGATAAAATTCTCATGGTGGTTCCACCGCGTAAATTTTTTGGGCTTGAAGCTCGAAGGGTTAACTAAAATATCATGTGTACCCAATAGGGAATGAATTACGTTTTCTGCTTGAGACCACAAAGTGCTCGCATGAGGGATGTCAATATATCAATTTGTATTTGGCTTAGATCCTACTTGATGCATTGAAAATATGGGGAAATATTTTATATAAGATTTTATATAAAATGTGGCGAAGTGCCTTACCCGAGGCTGTTATTTATTCCAAAATGTCATGTCCTCGTTCTTTTGTTTTTAGGTCAAACTGTGCCACCACCAAAAACAACTGGTAAGTGTTTCTTAAGAGGATGAATTTTATGCCTGCATACAAAAGTTCTCATTAGCGTAATAGCATGAGTTAAAATGTCATCACAAGACTGGATGGTTGGGCTCTCAAAGCTCTGATGTTGATTCAACACACAATTGTAAACTTGGCAAAACAAAAAGTGGTTCTGAAACGAACCAGAGATTGTAAACTTGACAAAACAGACAGTGTTTCTGAAAGGAACCAGAGATTGTTAACTTGACAAAAGAGACAGAGGTTCTGAAAAACCCAGAGAGGTGACAAAACAAAAAGCGGTTCTGAAAAGAACTAGAGATTGTAAACTTGACAAAAGAGACAGTGTTTCTGAAAGGAACCAGAGATTGTTAACTTGACAAAAGAGACAGAGGTTCTGAAAAAACACAGAGATTTAAAAGGTGACAAAACAAAAAGTGGTTCTGAAAAGAACCAGAGATTGTAAACTTGACAAAAGAGACAGTGTTTCTGAAAGGAACCAGAGATTGTAAACTTGACAAAAAAAACAGTGGTTCTGAAGGGAACCAGAGATTGTTAACTTGACAAAAGAACAGTGGTTCTGAAAGAACCAGAGATTGTAAACTTGACAAAAGAAACAGTGGTTCTGAAAGGAACCAGAGATTGTTAACTTGACAAAAGAGACAGAGGTTCTGAAAAAACACAGAGATTTAAAAGGTGACAAAACAAAAAGTGGTTCTGAAAAGAACCAGAGATTGTAAACTTGACAAAAGAGACAGTGTTTCTGAAAGGAACCAGAGATTGTAAACTTGACAAAAAAAACAGTGGTTCTGAAGGGAACCAGAGATTGTTAACTTGACAAAAGAACAGTGGTTCTGAAAGAACCAGAGATTGTAAACTTGACAAAAGAAACAGTGGTTCTGAAAGGAACCAGAGATTGTAAACTTGACAAAAGAGACGGTGTTTCTAAAAAAACCAGAGATTGTTAACTTGACAAAAGAAACGGTGGTTCCGAAAGGAACCAGAGATTGTAAACTTGACAAAAGAAACTGTAGTTCTGACAGGAACCAGAGATTGAAAACCTGACAAAAGAAACAGTGGTTCTGAAAGGAACCAGAGAGTGTTAACTTGACAAAACAAAAAGTGGGTCTGAAAAGAAACAAAGCTTTTGTTCTTTTCAGACGCACTTTTTCTTCTGTCAAGTTTACAATCTTTGTAAAGATTGTAAACTGACATACAAAGATTGTAAACTTGACAAAAGAAACAGTGGTTCTGAAAGGAACCCGAGGGTGTTAACTTGACAAAAGAGACAGTGATTGTGAAAGATCCAGAGATTGTAAACTTAACAAAAAAGACAGTGCTTCTGAAAGGAACCAGATATTGTAAACTTGACAAAAAAGACAGTGCTTCTAAAAGGAACCAGAGATTGTAAACTTGACAAAAGAAACAGTGTTTCTGAAAGGAACCAGAGATGGTTAACTTGACTAAAGAGACAGTGGTTCTGAAAGGAACCAGAGACTGTTAACTTGACAAAAGAGGCAGTGTTTCTGAAAGGAACCAAAGACTGTTAACTTGACAAAAGAGACAGTGATTCTGAAAGGAACCAGAGACTGTTAACTTGACAAAAGAGACAGTGATTCTGAAAGGAACCAGAGATTGTTAACGTTACAAAAGAAACTGTAGTTCTGACAGGAACCAGAGATTGAAAACCTGACAAAAGAAACAGTGGTTCTGAAAGGAACCAGAGAGTTTTAACTTGACAATGGGAAATATTAATAATAATAATAAAAAATGTAAAACCAGAGATTGTAAATTTGACAACAACAGAAAAAAGGGTTCTGAAAAGAACCAGAAATTGTAAACTTGACACTAAAAGTGGTTCTGAAAAGAACGGGAGATTGAGGAGCAGCCTGTGACAAACTATTTCCAAACAGCATTGTGGTGTTGAAGAACATGTTTTGGTTATGAAAAAAATAATTCCAATTACTTTTTATTTCCAAACAGCATTGTGGTATTGAAGAACATGTTTTGGTTATAAAAAAATAATCTCAATTACTTTTTATTTCCAGCTGCAGTTGGGACGAAGCCAACGAATCCTCCATCGAATCCTCCATCGAATCAAACAGGTACATAGTCATAAGTACATCGGTGATAATTCATTATTGTAAATATTGCAATCACAAGCTGTCACAAGCGTTACAGCAATTTTTGCTCTAAAAGGGTGCACACGTGAAGTTGGTTTTGAAAAATTCGTTTTGTTTGTAGCTGCTTTTGGGACGAAGCCGACAAATCCGCCACAGAATCAAACAGGTTTTGGTTATTAAAAATAATCTCAATGACTTTTATTTCCAGCTACCGTTGGGACAAAGCCGACGATTGAACCTCAGAATCTAACAGGTAGTCATCAGTACATGTGTGACAATTAATTTTGGAAATATTGCAATCAAAAGCTGTTAAAAAGCGCTACAGAAATTTTTGCTCTAAAAGGGTGCAAACGTGAAGTTGGTTTTGAAAAACTTCTTTTTGTTTGTAGCTGCTTTTGGAACGAAGCCGACAAAGCCGACAAATCTGCCACAAAATCAAACAGGTAGTTTTAAAGACATCTGTGATAATTTATTCTTGTAAATATTGCGATCATAAACCAGTAAAAGCTAAACTGCTTTGCTTCGCGTTGTCAACATCTTTCTGCTGAGTCTTGATGTCAGAAAGGACGCGGTTCTTGTCTTGCTTGACTTAAGTGCACACTATTGATCATGACATTCTCACCCAACGGCTAAAGAACAGGTTTGGTGTCACAGGAACAGCAATCGAGTGGTTTAATTTCTACTTACGTGATCGTGAGCAGTTGGTTAAGATCGGTGATTTTGTGATACTGTCCGGAGTTCCCCAGGGCTCCTTTGCCGGTCTGCAGATGTTTACGCTTTGTACCTCTCCAGTTGAAGACATTGTTAAGCGTCACAAGGCCGATGGCATGTTCTATGCTGACGACTCACAAATCTGTTTCAGTGTGGACCGAACAACCTCGACCCGATCATCGATCTTGGGAAATATATCACAGAAATCCAGAAATGGACTAATGAGACCAAGACAGAGGTTATCCATCTATCACCCTGTTCGATCATTCTCATATACAGCTCCCGAACTCTGGAACCAGCATCCAACACATATCAGAAATGCAAAAACACTGGATCTGTTCAAGACTTTACTCAAAACCCATCTACTTATCCTTTGACTTTGAACATTTCCGCTGCCTATTATCTTACATCAGTTGGTGTTGCTCTTTTTCATATGCCGTGTTTTTTTTTGGTATATTATTTGTAGATGAAGGTTTACTCTAATGATACATCTGTATGTTATCATGCCTGTACAGGGTCTTATTGACAGAATGCGCTTTACAAGAGTGGTTTATTATTAGCAAAAAAAAGCTTTACTTTTCGTTCTCATTTTATTTCTTGCTTCTTCTTTTTGTTCCCTGGCAAATCTCATAGACTTTGCACACGTCTTTTCTTCTGCTAGCCGATTTAATCTTTGTCACACACCATTCAAAGTTACCATAGGCATAATCCCTAGAGCAGAGTTGTGTTCCGAAGAGTGACGTCATGATGACGTCATCTTGGATCACGTGATGTCATCTTAAAATTGCATATTTTGAAGTCTTATGTCTAGAGAACTGTAAGTCTCTTTGGGTTGAAACTCAGTATGAAGGTAGACCGGGATGTGTTATAGGTTCAAATTGAGGTGACGTCATGATGATGTCATCATGCGATTTTATATGAATTTGTTGAATTTGTGGGCCTTTAAGCCATATCTCATCAACAGAACATGCTAAATTCAAAATTCTTTTTGTTATGCATGTAGGCCTAGGCTTGTTAAGTCAAGCTTACGTGCACAAAAAAAATGACAAGTGTGTGATGTCATGACGACGTTACCATCGTGAATTGTTTGGCTGGTGTGGATTTTTCATGTTTTCATGACTAGTTATGACATTTTTCGTGCGACATCTAGATTTGTTGTAAAATTTCATATTTTGGGCTGCCACAGCAGCATGTGAATTACAGAACTTTCTTCGTACATGAAATTGAACATGATTGCACGTGGACAAACAGAGCATAAATATTTGACAAACGTGAAATGCAGAAAATCCCTACGTTCTGTTCATCAAACAGACATAGACCTTTAGTTATTATTATTATTATGGCAAGTATTGCTCTAAAAAGGTATACTCACGTGAAATGAGTTTTGAAAAGATTGTCTTGTTTGCAGCTGCTTTTTAGTGGGACGAAGCCGGAGCCAGCCCCAAATCAAACACATCAGAGCACCTGCATTAGTGATAGTGCACCATTGTAATGTTCGAGTCATAAGTTGTCTTAACATTTGGGCAACTTGTCACACTAGTTATTACTCACTGTTTTAATTTTCTTCTTTCTTTTTTTCACTGTTGCAGTTGCATCAACCACACCACTTAACGGAACCCGCGGTAAATGAAGCTTTTGCTTTATCCTTTCTTAATGAACACAACCACGAAATTACTATTCAATTAAACTTCTTTGGGGCCGAATTTGTTTTAGTATTTTGCTTTTTACAAAGCATTTTTGTTAAGTTTTTTTTAATGATGTTGGGCCTATGGGGTAATATGTTTCTGCTTTTGCGGCCCCTGACCCAATTATCATTTTGTTGATTTACTTGGCTTTTTTTTTTTTTAAAGTACGTTTGAGACCGGTTTGGGGACTGGACGCTGATAATAGCCCAAACCGAATCCCATTCACAAGTACATTTTCGATCAAAAAGTCCAAACTAGTCGAAAATTATGTATTTCCAATTGTGTTGAACACTTACACTTCATGTTTTCTAAAGCGCCTCTCTAGCTATGTTATGGTGCGTGCCTCTTGTATCTTGCGAGTAGTGGTAAACATTTCCTTATATGGAAATTGCCGCACACTACTGCTTGATATGGCACAGAACGTGGCAGTGCCGCATCATGTTAATTTAGGACTCTCGAAATACAGACTCATCGGTAGGATGGCGCATGAAAGAAAAGGCTTGTATCCTTTCCATGCATGGCCGAATATCAGTGACACTTTTACAGACTGTGGTCAATACCCAGACCGAATGTTGGCCGAAGAGAACAATTCAGTAACCTTTCCCGTTTTTGTGGGAGACAAGAACGTATCCAAAGGTACATTTTTTTTACTCACCCTGTGTTATCATTGTTTGCTTTATTTGACAGAGCCGCCAACAAGGGCCCAGCCAAATCCTTATGAAGGTGATAATTATAACAAGCAGTGGTTTTTTCTTCTGAAGTTACAGCTTTAAATTGTTTGGCACTTTTGCAAGACATAAAAAACCACGTATAACTCCATGATATAACATCAGACTTTTGTCAGACATCACTGGGTAGTGCTTATGGGTTTAGGTGTACAGTCGAACACCTTTATAACTAAGTCCTTGGATCTTTACGAATTACCTTGTTATAACAGGTACCTTGTATTAACAGTAACGGGAAACAAAGAAAAACAAAGACTTGTGATCTAAAATTTTGCTCGTTATAAGTAGTACCTTGTGTTAACAATGCTCTTCTTATCACGGTTCGGCTGTATTTCACTGGGGAAAATGGGATCATAATATGAACTGCATCAATATGCATAGGGTTATTTTCTAGGACTGTTAAGGTAATTGTGATGCCTTTCCCCCCTCCCTCCAGGTCTGAGTGGGGGCGCTATTGCCGGTATCGTCATCGGTGTACTGGTTGCCGTGGTCCTGGTCCTTGTCGTGGTGGGTTATTTGGCCCTGAGGCATCGCCAGGTCGCTCTCAAAGCCCCAGATCTAGGCACGGCCACTGTCAGCGGCTTCGATAACGCCATGTACTCACCATCCGTGGAAGATGTCACCTTTGACACCAAGGGTGCGGGTGTGACTGACGCCTAAAATATATCAATCCCAGGGAAGGGAAAGAAAGCAAAGCAAAATTGAACTTAAGGAAGATAATTTTTTGTGGTAAACGTTTCGTTTATAAAAACTTTAAAAAAAATTGGGGTTGGGGAACAACAACAATCTCTTACAATTTCTGTCGTTAGGAGAATGCTTAACCCTTACTGTCCTGATGATTCCAATCCTCCAATTTAAGCAGAATTTTCAAACACCTTTATATATAGGGATTAGGATTAATACATAAGGTTTTTATTTGGGGTCTGGTGAGGCTTTGACATATTTTGTCCCTTTTAGGGGGGAGGCAGGGGTGGGGTTACCTTTAGACCTCCTTCCATAAAACTTGTAAGCAGAAAAGGCGTGCAGCTGTTCCTCATCATGAGAGTCCAATTTCTTTGGTCTGCTTTCCGTAAGTGAAAATCCCTGCTTACTGTAGCAGAAAATTCAGTGCTTACCATAAGCATATTTCACGCATTAGCGAGGAATTTTGACTTCTGCGCATGCGTACATCCCGTTACTAGGGATTCTGCGCTAACAGGCTTAGCACATAATGTTTTCTGCTAGTGCAGTTAGCACAGAATGGTCGTCGTAAGCGCGGAATTATGTGGTTAGCAGAGCCATGAATTGGGCCCAGCAGGTGATTTCCTCATTTCAACTGTTGGACGTAAGGAAGAACTTGTGAAGCTTCGCATTTTCTCGGTTTTTTGGGGTGAACTTCTGCGGTTGTTACTTAAATCGTACAAGCAAATTACTCTTCTGATAGTGTAGCACGTTTTAGTGATCCCATGCCGGTTATGTGGACCGGAAACAATTGCTCTTAGTCTTAGTTACTGCAAATAAGTACCTCTACAAAGAAGCACTCCGACGCAATACATTCATCAGCATTTTGTAGTAATGGCAGTCCTGCTATAATAGATACCTTAGTGTCCATATTCATAATTAAATAAGAATAAGTACATAACACAAAGAACTTTTTTATAAAGGTGATGATTACTTCTAAAGCTACAGTACTTTGTTTTAAATTGTCTTTTATTGTTTGAAATAATTTTTGTAAATGAAATTTATAGGAGCTGCTGAAGTACTGAAATTCGTTTTTATGCAAATAAATGAGCTAAGTTTAAAGCCTGCTTTATAGTTTGTTTTACTTCACATTACAAGTAAATAGTAGCCTATTGTTTATTGATCAGTTTATTCGGGCTTGTACTTAATTGGTTAGATATATGGTGGATTTACACTTCAAAATATGGGCAACTATCCCATTATTTTTTTTAAGCATTCATCAATTTGTGTATTTTAAAGAGAGCAAAAATACTGACAAAAAACTTTGATTTCGTGTGAAAAAAATTGTCCACAGTTTATCGGTGCAAAGTAATAAATGATTTAATTTCGAATGAAACTTATTTTTGTGAAGTAAACAGCTTTTTTGTAAGTGTTAATGAATGAGTGGTAGATTATAATGATAGAGTGGTAGATTATACTGAAATGTTTCTCTTTTTCATCAAAAGAAACTGAAATGATATATTTGCAACGAAATCAGTAGTATAGTTTAATTGGTTACTCCCCCTGAAATATATGTCAATCTAGGGAACGTTTTATCTATAACATGAGTTAATAAACATAACAGTATGTTAAATAACTACATTTTAACCCTAAAGGGGTCGGGTTATTTTGACCATCTCACAGCCGGGGGGGGGGGCGGATTCCGCCCCCTCAGATGTCGGCCATCGAGTGAAAAAAAATTGTGAAACTCGGTGCATGCATAGAACAACATTATATGAACATACTCAAGAAATTTCATGGCTATAGGTTATAACGGGTTTTTGGAATTATGGCAAATTAATTACTCATATGCACAATGGAAATTCCGCTTTGTGTACACTATATATTGGGGAAATTCAGTTTTCACGAAAATGTTTTCTGCTGTGCGGTAACCCATTGTCGGAATTTTGTGTTTTGGGTATCAAAAGATGCGGAAGACTCGAGGCTAAAAAGTCAAGAAAGCTCAAATTGGGAAATTTTATTTTTTTGCAAGGGTATTGCGGCAAAACGTTGGGGGAGGGGGTTCGGATTCCGCCCGGCCCTTTTAGGGTTAAAATGCGTTTAGAAAATTAATTGTATGACAATACATTGTATAACCATGATTTTATAAACAATGACAGAATACTTTCTAAAATGCAAATTGTTTTGTGTGTCATCCTTTTTTACTGGCACTAGTGTTACCTCCCCCCTCCCCAACAAATACTCAGAATTTGTCAATTTGCTGTTTAAAGGACCTGATTTGTAGATTTTGTTTGGTCATTTGGAATGTTGGGAGATATTTCAGGGAAACTTGTTTAATTTCAATACATTATATGGGAAGGCTGTTCACTTTTTAATTCTTTTGGGGGTGGGGTTGAAGGGTGTGTGTGTTATGGGTGAGTTCGTTTCATTCAATAGGGGACGTTGAACAATAGAAGACAATAGGGTCCCCAATTCACGAGAGGTCCCCAATTTGGCGACCGTGTTGAAGAAAAAAAAAGCCCAAAAAAAAAAAAAAAAAAGCCGCGTCCCCGCGTCCATTCCGGAACTTTGGTCTGACCAGAGACCGAATATTTTTTTGGGGGGCCTAATGTCTATTTTTATAATGCATTCCTGTTAAGTTTAGTATGAAAAATGATGCAATGGAGCCCATAGATCCTAGGTATGAAAACATGGCGGGGGGGGGGGGGGGTCTAAAACTAGCCCCCCCAAAATAAATTCCGTAAAAAGAAATTACATTAGCAAAAGGATTGTGATGTACATGCAAACGGTCTCCCCCTAAAGAAATAGTCGTGACAAGGGTGCATTTGTAGTAAATATAGTGTGAATGATTTTAGGATTTTATTGGCGCTCCCCATTGAAAATATGGCACCCCCCCACCTATTGATTTTCGGAGGCCTAAGTCTCTGGAGAAAATAACCGGTCTACATTTCAGCACGCCTCCCTGAAAAAAATTCTGGATCCACCCTGCTAGCCCCCCCCCCCCAAAAAAAAAAATATTGGTTCTAGGACCGCGCCTGAGCCCAATGTTGAACTTTACTGAGTCTGAGGTCTATCGAGGGGACGATCCTTATTTCAACTCCCGGATATTCGCTGGCAGTCTCTATTTTTCTTTTTAAGAAAGTCGAAATAGCTGAAGAGGGAGGTGAGAATCTATATGTGCCCAGATACAAAGAGTAGAAATCTACGCGTCTGCCTTTTGAAAATACACAGTTGCGGTGTTCATTGTTGCGTAATGATCCGCCTAGCACACGACTGTTTTGCACATTAGGCTGTGTTATGCAGCTTCCTAACAAACCAAACACACTGGGCTCATTATATCGACTTGTTTTTACCCATTAAGGTAAAGCAAATGGACCCAGTAATATTCCTGGCGCGTTTGCTCACCTATAAAGACAACTTTTCTCAGTTTAAGGAAAATTCTAAGGTAACGAAATGGCCGAGTGGTTACGATTCGTCGTCCACGGTTAGCGGGGTCCCGGGTTCGAATCCCGCTGGTGTCTTTTTGGTTTTTAACGTATGAGTTCAATTATTCACTATAAGAGATTTAGTTTCCCTTCGTAAAAGTACCAACAGTACCTTAGCTTAATCGGTAAGCACTGCTGCTGGTACTGTCCGCGAGTTCCAGGTTGGCGCCTTCGTACAGGTTCAGGGCATGTGGTCCACTCGGAGGATCAGGGCTTAGGGGCCGCCCTGTTCCTCCCTTAGCTCTTTGCTTTTACATGGTGCCTGGCCCTCCGGGGTTATATGGATGGATAGGGAAGGAAGTGTGTATTGGTCGGGGACGCCGAGACCCCGGAAGAGAACTAAGGGATCGGCTGGGGCATTGTTATGGCTCAGACCGATCCCTGAAAGCTTGACTAGCACATAACTTTTTGATTTTTTTACCCTCTATCTTTTATACTTTGGTTTAGTTTGATATCTACAGCTGCTCGGCAGGTATACGGGTAGTATCAAAATTGAAACGAAGGTGTATGTCATAAATCAATGAATATTTCATAATTGACTATAATCAAAACGGAGTTTCGTTTGATCAATTTGACTATCATTATATAATGACGCGATTGCCAATTGACGTAAGAAACGCCATAAATTATACCGGGAAAGAATAAAGATGTACATTGTAATATAAATATTATTTATACATCTTTCAAATAACGTGTCTTTAATTGTGAGCATTCCAAACAATACAGTAATTCGCAATAGTAATAGAATGGTATATGATAGCACGATCAATGCGCCTCTATTAAATTTCAAAAAATATAATTTAGGCCCCTATGTGTGAAATATTCTTTGATTGACTATGAGCATTCCATACGAATGAGTTAATCGCAAAATATAGCAACAACAACAGAGAAAGGAAAAAGAAAAAAAATCCTTTACCCTAAAAACTGGAAATATAATTTGTTTTAAAAAAGTTATTGTATTGATTTAACAGTTTGCAAGGAGTTAGCCTTACATTTTTAGCAAAATTGGGAAAAATCAGATGTTTCTGGAAAATTGCAGCTAATAAGGGGTTAACCTTGCATTTTTAGTAAAATTTAGAAGTTATGAAACATTTCATAATGTAAGGGGTGAACCTTGCATTTTTTAGCGAAATTGGGCAAAATCAGATCTTTCTGGAACATTTCAGATTGTAAGGGGTTAACCTTGCTTTTGTAGTAAAATTTGGCAAAATAAGATGTGAATGAAAAATTTCAAATTGTAAGGTGTTAACCTTGCTTTTTTAGTAAAATTGGGAAAATTTAAATGTTTATGAAACATTTCAAATTGTCAGTGGTTAACCTTGCATTTTTTAGCAAAATAGGGCAAAATCAGGTGTTTATGGAAAATTTCAGATTGTAAGGGGTTAACTTTGCAGTTTTAGCAAAATTGGTCAAAATCAGATTTGTATGAAAAATCAAACAGTGCCAAATTAGGGCAAAATCAGATGTTTCTGGAAAATTGCTGATTGAAAGGGGTTAACCTTGCTTTTTTAAGCGAAATTGGGAAAAATCAGGTGTTTCTTGAAAATTGCAGATTGCAAGGGGTTAACTTGGCATTTTTAGCATGACTGGGCAATATCAGATTAAATATAAAAAATCTCAAATTGTAAGGGGTGAACCTTGTATTTTTAGCGAAATTGGGCAAAGTAAATGTTTATGAAAAATCTCAAATTGTAAGGGGCGAACCTTGCATTTTTTTAGCAAAATCGGGTGTTTATGAAAAATGTCAGATTGTAAGGGGTTCACCTTGCATTTTTAGTAAAATTGGGAAAATTGAAGTGTTTATGAAAAATTTCACATTGTCAGTGGTTAACCTTGCATTTTTTAGCAAAATGGGGCAAAATCAGGTGTTTATGGAAAATTTCAGATTGTAAGGGGTTAACTTTGCATTTTTAGAAAAATTGGGCAAATCAGATTTGTATGAAAAATCAAAAATTGTAAGGGGTTAACCTGGCCAAATTAGGGCAAAATCAGATGTTTCTGGAAAATTGCAGATTGTAAGGGGTTAACTTGGCGTTTTTAGCATAATGGGCAATATCAGATTGATATGAAAAATCTCAAACTGTAAGGAGTGAACCTTGTATTTTTAGCGAAATTGGGCAAAATCAGATCTTTCTGGAAAATTTCAGATTGTAAGGGGTTAACCTTGCTTTTGTAGTAAAATTTGGCAAAATAAGATGTGAATGAAAAATTTCAAATTGTAAGGTGTTAACCTTGCTTTTTTAGTAAAATTGGGAAAATTTAAATGTTTATGAAAAATTTCAAATTGTCAGTGGTTTTGTTGCGGTCTCAAAAAGCTACGCCGAACTGGCCTTTCATCCACGGCGTGCACGTAGTGCGTCTGTGCGCGCGCGTGGACTTATCACATTTGTATCAATATTTATATCTCCCTTGGAAGTTACATCTACTTCTGCCTATGAACAGAACTTTTGGCTTGATGCCAGCAATGGATGGCCAGCTGCAATTTGGGCAATCAATATGTTTACTAATTCCATACCATAGCAACCATCCGTTGATTAACAGAGAGTTTGAAACTCAGCCAGCCGTGCGTTCGTGGAGAATAATGTATTTTATCTTTCAGTGATAAAATGAATTTTTTAGCAAAATAGGGCAAAATCAGGTGTTTATGGAAAATTTCAGATTGTAAGGGGTTAACTTTGCAGTTTTAGCAAAATTGGTCAAAATCAGATTTGTATGAAAAATCAAACAGTGCCAAATTAGGGCAAAATCAGATGTTTCTGGAAAATTGCTGATTGAAAGGGGTTAACCTTGCTTTTTTAAGCGGAATTGGGAAAAATCAGGTGTTTCTTGAAAATTGCAGATTGCAAGGGGTTAACTTGGCATTTTTAGCATGACTGGGCAATATCAGATTAAATATGAAAAATCTCAAATTGTAAGGGGTGAACCTTGTATTTTTAGCGAAATTGGGCAAAGTAAATGTTTATGAAAAATCTCAAATTGTAAGGGGTGAACCTTGCATTTTTTTTAGCAAAATAGGGCAAAATCGGGTGTTTATGAAAAATGTCAGATTGTAAGGGGTTAACTTTGCAGTTTTAGCAAAATTGGGCAAAATCAGATTTGTATGAAAAATCTAAATTGGTAAGGGGCTAACCTTGCCAAATTAGGGCAAAATCAGATGTTTCTGGAAAATTGCAGATTAAAAGGGGTTAACCTTGCCTTTTAAATCGAAATTGGGAAAAATCAGATGTTTCTGGAAAATTGAAGATTGTAAGGGTTAACTTGGCATTTTTAGCATAACTGGGCATTACACTCAGACACGAATACATGTACAATCAAAACATCATTAACCAATACATTGGATTTGCCGCAGCCTGAATGTGTTTATTAAATCTTCATGCCAAATCAAAGCATGTTTTGTTTTCCGTTTTACCATACCGCACCACCAACATAAATAGACGGCCAGATACCAGTCTTTCATTGCTGAAATCCTTTGGGCAAACTGACTCTTACAAACCATTGGGTTGATCAGACCCACCGAACCTGGGGTACATAACCGGGCCCCCACTCCGGATCCACTTTAAACCGTACCTGGGGTAATAACGGTCCCCCACTCCGAAAACCACCTGTGGTATATCCACGCCCCTTCTAAATTGCTCCGTAATTGATAGGACACTTGTAGAAACTTTTAAAGTAATTGCCTTAATTGAAACACAAA